GGTTAACGTCATTCAATAATGTCAATGTGGCTAATCCAATTCAATCCTTACTATCCCATCTGCTGACAAAGAACATGCTTTATCCTTGATTTATGATCAAGTTAATATTCCTTCAAGAAATTTCCGTTGAAGAGCGAACAGAATTTTTATTCCAATTTTATTCTGCCAAAGGTACCTTCATTATCCATTGAGTCAATTTGATGTAAAAGTGAATAATGCGGACAGCTTCTATTTATTTGCATATTGACCACATTACTGCATGAATCATTCCATAATGTACTTCAGTGGTAGTCCAAAAGGTAGATAGTAAGTCCATTTATTAGACGACCATATAGATTCTGTTCTGACATACATTATATTTTCAGGATATTATTCATTGCATCGCGTATTATATTAGCTAATGTTATTTCAAAGTATGATTATTTACTTGGCTAGAGAAGAAGAAATTATAGAGATAGAGAAACAGTTCTTGATCTTTCATTGCACGGAATACGTTATTTTAGTTCAAGATTATTCTTTAAAGGCCAGTAATCCCATTATTCCTTTCAATATTTAATCATAGAATATTACATAACTTATACTCAATATGTGAAAAGATTTTAAGCATTTCTTTAAACTTTTAGTCAATAAATTAATGAATTTATGCCTAGGAAGGGTAGTTTCCAAGTTTCATTTGGTCTGCACTTGATAGAGTTTAATTGTACAGGCATCAATTTAGAAAAGTAAATGACCTTGATCTTTAGTAAAAGTTGTTCGTAAGAGAAAGGAACCTGATTAATTTCTATGGGTCATAATATTTTGATAGCAGTGATTTAACGGATACAGATAGAAAGTTTATGGGAATCCTGCCTGACCTCAACTATATCTTGAGGTAGACTCACTTGACTTGATTTTAAGTTCTGCCTTGTATTAGATCTATTTGAATAAAAAGTAATTGTTTAGGGACTATCTAGCCATTATCACTGTTCAAAAGTAGATTTGCCTGAATAGATTGATTTTCTCCTATAATTTTACAAGTTGAGATGACAGAACTGAAATAACTTTATTGTATTTAATTATTGTCTCAAACTTCTCTTTCAATAATGATAATTATACAGTAGAATGCTTCCTGTTAGAATATTCGCTAACATAACAATAATATTTGATGCTTGCATAGCTCAAGGAAGACTTCTAGTATTATTAAATAATTTCTCACATTCTGTTTGGACTAATTATTATCTTTCGGCATCTAGAAGTTCTAATTTAAAAAATTTTCAAACCTCTTGAGCAATTCATTTTATATTATTGAAGGAATTTTATTTGTTTCTAGATTCTGTATGATTAATTCGCGATAGAAAATGGTCAGATTCATTTTATTCATCCTCATTTCCATTCTAACCTCCTCAGTAATTCCAGGTAGGCTATATGATGATACGCTGTTTTATTCTCTTAATAAACTTTGAAATCAAAGCAATTATTTCTGCTTTGGTTTACCCTTGCTTAGCTACATTAAATTCTCTATACATTAGCGTAGTGCAATTGAAAACTTTTAGATTGTTACTTTAATATAGTAATAGAATTAAATTCTCGTTCAGTTTACTTGAGCACAGCTAAGGAGTATTACCATTTCATAGCAAAGTTGCAATAACATTATTACTGAATCATTTAGAGCAATCATTACCTATCTGTTCTTAAATATCTCATGCTTGCATTCCACTAATATTGCTAATTAGGTGAGGCTTCTACAAGCTATGGCCAAGAGTTTTATATAGGATTCTTGCCAATGTTAAAGATTGGAGGTTTAAATGAGGAATTATCGTTATCCGTTATGAGCCAGTCATCATCAACTTTCATTAGTATTACTTCACATGGCGAATTGGATTATAGCTACAGCACTATAATATCATCTGCTAGCACAATAACAAAACTTTCAATTCCATTAGATTTTTTGCTCAACGATGCTATTGGTTTTAGTGGGAAAGTAATAAAAATTTTAGCCAACTCATCCATTGGAATCAATGTATATATTTCATCGCAGATCTCCACAGAAGGTTATTTAGCTCTTCCTAAATCTTCTTTAATGACAAAATATGCTGTTGTAACGCAAGTTCCAACAACGCAATCACAATTTGCTATTATTGGTACTGAAAATGTTACTCAAGTTAATATTACATTTCCAATATCAGTTACTTATCTTGGCCAAGTTTATAGCCCACAAGACGTCTTAACGATTGCATTAAATCAAAGTCAATTATTTCAATTTATAAGTTCAAATTTAGATTTAACCGGGACATGGATTCAATCCGATAAGCCAATCATGCTTGTAAGTGGTAATAAACGCAAAAAGTTTACTTCAGGAATACATAATAATTTAATTGAGCAATTGCCTCCACTACTTACTTGGGGCGTCAATTATATATTAAATGCTTTTCCTGTTAGCGATAGTGTCTTATTTCGAATCGTAGCAGGCTATAATAACACAAAGATATATGGAGAAGGAAAAATTAATACTACTCTAAATGTAGCACAATATACTGATGTTGAATTAGCTAAAAACAAGCAGATACTCTTGCAATGCAGCCAGCCATGTTTAGTTATTTCTTATAGTCGACATAGATTGAAAAGTTCATGGATGATCACAGTTACACCTCTAAAACAATTCTTGAACTATTATCGAGTAGCTGTACCAGAATTACTTGGAGCTTCTTTTTCTGGTGATATTCATGTTTATATCCAAATAGAGAGTGATCAGATAACTGGTTTGCTATTAAATAATGCTTCCTACTCTTTTTCCTGGTCTTTGGTGAATAATACTAATATTTCTGTCGCTTACTACACCATACCAGCTCAAGATAGCAGCATCACCTTAAATCATCTGGATCCTAACGTCGTCTTTGGCGTTGGAGTTTATGGTGCCGGTTCTTCTACAGGTTTAGGATACCCAGGAGGCCAATCGTTATCACTTATTTGTAAACCCATCGGTAAACCAGCTGATGGATTGGATAATGACTGTGATTATCGAGTAGATGAAGAATTGCCTAACGGAATTGATGATGATGGTGATGGACGCATCGATGAAGATTTAATTCTATCTCCATTACAACTTTTTATCCCATCCAATTTGACATCTAGGAGTTGTGCTCCTCAAAATATTAGCTCCAACCCAATAACTACTGGCTATGCAAATGCAACGGATGATTTTCGCTGCACAATCAATCCTATTTCTTATATAGACCAGATCACTAATTCAAGCTGTGGTCTACAAATTGATCGACACTGGTTTGTATCCGATGATTGTAATACTTCTGCTGAAGGCATGCAAAGAATTATTATTGCCTATCCGTTGCAAGAATACCTTGAACCTGCCAATGTAACTGTAGTATGTCCTGAAGATCTTGCTCCGTCGTCTATTGGTCAGCCTCTAGTCTACGATGGTCAAGACTGTCCTGGTGTTAAACTTCCTTCGCCTTCAATAACCTATCAAGAAACACGTAATCAAGCATGTCAAATAATTCTAACACGTTATTGGATATTAAAGCCAACATTTCTGTGTGGTTTCGAAGAGAATTACCTTCAGTTGATCCATCTAGGTAGGTCATTGCAAGATAGCAACCTGTAAACCCTAGCCAGTACGAGGCTTATTGCCTTTTGCATGGCATGTAATAATCATCTGCTCTTCGAGAATATCTAAAAGTAGCATGAGTGTCTCAGGTTAGATTGCACTGCAAGATATAAAGTATTGACATCGAATTTGCTCATAAGAGGTCGAGTTGGCCACTCTGTAGCTTTCTACTAGCTACAGTTTTTATTATAGTTCATTAGAATAATTTTACAGTCAAGTAACATAGATCATACTTTTTGCAATAATTTATTCTAGGCAACTGATCAACTAATACAATACGCTTATTTTAATTTCGATTTTTCAAAACCAAAAATCAACATAATACAATTTCTAAATCGCTATGAAATCATGTATTAACAAATTCATCTTTATACGGTATTAGCTTGAATAGATTAATCATAAATATATATGATTTATTGTATTATTGTATCATGCTGTCGTAATTAGATACCAGAACGTGTGGGACTATATGTCAAAATAACGCAACCTGCATCGATACTGAAGGCAATTCAACATTAACTTGCATTTGTGATCCCGGTTATACTGGTCATCGATGCCAAACGGGTGAGATATAAACGCAATACTGACAGTGTAGACTTGTTAAAATGATTTCACGATTGGCAATACATGATAGGACTTTCAATCACATCTGAATATTATTCATACAAGGATCGAATAATTGATTTATGCATTTCTATGCATTAAACATAAGCCTATGTACTATAGCAATAAGTAGTTATTCTCTACATGTTTCTGCCGTTGATTAGTTTACGTATAACTTTGAGGTCGAAGAACCCTATCAACTCATACCGGATCTAGTTTGATGATCATCGTAAATGTAGTTCATCGATTACTTAATTTCCAGGGAATGTAGCCAGGAGAATGTAGCTTAAAGTGTAACTAGTGACTAGGAAGATTGATTAAATTTTTCTCATTATGCTATAGATATTAACGAATGTGCATCAAATCCTTGCATTCATGGTACTTGTACAGATTTTGTTGATGAATTTACCTGCAACTGTACAGCAGGCTATACAGGCTACAATTGCAGCGAAGGTAAGCTTGCCAAGCCCCTCTCTATAGTTTATTTTAACTATAATCTCTTGCTCTATTGTATTTGCTAAATACCATTAAGATAATGTATTCACCGATGCCGTTCATTTTAAATTAGAAATTAATGAATGCAATTCCAATCCCTGTGCCAATGGACTCTGTAACGATTACTTAAATCAATATAGTTGTTCCTGTTTCGGTGGCTGGAATGGAACCAACTGCCATATAGGTTAGTCTAGAAATTTTACCGCAATCGAAATTTTAGACTCCTACCTACCTCATTGGTGATACGTATAAATAAACTAGGGTAATTACTCACGATGTCCAATCTAAATTGTCAAATATAGATATCGATGAATGCCAATCTTCGCCCTGTATCTACGGTATCTGCCAAGATTTGATTAATGGATATAATTGCTCTTGTGATTCCGGTTGGAAAGGATCCAACTGTAATATAAGTATGGGACTTAAAAGCTTCTCGTCAAGTAAAATAATTCGTTCTTCACCGTTCTAAATCAAAATTATTCCTATTTTAGATATTGATGAATGCCAATCCAGTCCTTGTATCAACGGAAAATGTATAGATATAGTAGACAGTTACAACTGTACATGTGATCCAGGATGGAAAGGAACTATTTGCTCAATAAGTAACTTGATTTACTCCAGAGTCGATAAAACTGAGTTTGTTCGTCATTGAGATCTATTTATCATTAATTTATTGGCATCATTTTATGAAATGGTAATAAACTATAGATGTAAATGAATGTGCCTCACTACCTTGCTTTAATCAAGCAATGTGTGAAGATTACATTAATGGATATAACTGTACTTGCCAACCTGGTTGGACTGGAATCCATTGCCAAAACAGTAAATGAAATTTCTTGAAATTGAAGGATTTCACCTACATTTTAACTAATAAATTTCCTTGCCTTGTAGATATTAATGAATGTTTATCAAGTCCTTGCCAACATGGCACTTGCCTTGATTACATCGATTATTATAACTGTACATGCGAAGGAGGATGGAGTGGATTTAGCTGTGATTTAGGTAATGAAGTTATATTCAGTGTATAAAGTCTTTTCCAATTTAATAATTGTCTTTTACAGAGAACAGGTATCGAACATCGATACGAGTGTATTAATTTTTATACCTTTATAATGGTCGACTTAAACTCTATTCCAGATATCAATGAATGCCAATCCAGTCCTTGCATTTTTGGCACATGTCAAAATCAAGTTAATTCCTTCCGTTGTGACTGTGAAGCAGGATACTTTGGAAATACTTGTGAACAAGGTGAGACTGAATCTCTTCCTAACGTGATTATTACTTCCTTCTAGGCCTTTACTTCTATTATCTATTTGATTTTAGAAATTAATGAATGCTCCTCAAATCCATGCATTCATGGGAATTGCAATGATCAAATTGCGGCCTATAACTGTAGCTGCTTTCCAGGATACGATGGATACAACTGCCAAACAGGTATAAGATTAAGGCAGACTAATATTAAAACCAGGTATTTCTCAATTCAGTAAGATTTCAAGTTGAACTAACTCACTTTTTAACGATAATGTAATTTACATCTGTCAATCGGACCAATAGCTACATAGCCATGCATCGCTAATTAAAAGGAATATTTATAATTTAGCGAGATTTATTTAGTATATTGATTTTCGTAGCTATTATTAAAGCTGGTCATTTCTTCGAAAATGCATACAATTAAATTTCCGCAATTACTATACGTATCTAGTAATTTTTTCTTTCATTCATAAATATTTTAATATAGAAAGGCATAAATAAGCTGCTTAAAATATTATGGAATTCAAATCTAGCTAGATTACGTGGAGGATAGACTGCAATCCATTAATTAAGAAGCTACTATTTGCTAATACGAGTATTCAAGCTATTCTATTTTATTATTAATTCTCTAGATATCAATGAATGCCAATCCAAACCTTGTATTAATGGAGATTGTTATCATCGAATTAATGCATATATTTGCAGTTGCCATACAGGCTGGACAGGTTTACAATGCCAGTCAGGTAATTCTATTTACTATATAGCGAATGTAGTCAAATAATGATCTACACATTTATTAAGAGTAACTTTATAGCACTAGTCGAGTAATCGGTGATAGATTTTACATAGAGAAGAATCACCGTAATTTACTATTATACATATACCTAAGTAGTTGTAATTACTAAAGTAGCAATATTGTATCATAGTTAGGCCTTTTAAATGATCTAATGGATAGAATCTTGCACCCAGTCAAATATCTAATCGCATTTTATTATCATTATAGACATTGATGAATGCCAATCGAATCCCTGCCAGAATGGTGATTGCAATGATTACCTGAACAATTATAATTGTACTTGTTCTCCTGGATTTACTGGAAAGAACTGTCAGACAAGTATATTATAATATGACTACATCGTAATCTATTATCTAATAAAGATGACTAAATGGTTATTAAAGATTATCAAAATTTTGTCTCTATCATTAGATATTGACGATTGCTTATCTTCACCATGTGGAAATAACAGCGTCTGTCAGGATAATATTAATAGCTATACATGTATTTGTAGCCCAGGATATAATGGAACACATTGCACCCTAGGTGTGGCATTTTTTGCTTTATTTTAGTTTCTACTAGTAGGCGCCAGCTTAATATAGGATATGATACACTCGATCTTTGAATCCAATTGTAATGACATTCAATTTTGCAGACATTGATGAATGTTTATCCAACCCATGTATTTATGGAAATTGTTCCCAAGGCATTAATAGTTTCGAATGCAATTGCTTTATCGGGTATACCGGAAAAACTTGTAATGACGGTTAGTATGATTTAACCTTGATCACATTTAAAAATTCGGCTTTACTGCGAAGTATTTTCTTGAATGCAATTCACTTTCTATTTCGATATCCTATGGGTATATATCTTGTTATTTTGCAGATTTTGACGAGTGCACTTCCAGCCCTTGTCTAAATGGTCAATGCAATAATTTATTAAAGCAATATAATTGCACATGTTCTACTGGATGGACTGGAACACGATGTGAAATAGGTAATTGTTTCAATCAGTCTAGCTAAGAAAATATTAATATCGTTATGTCTACCTATAATTGATCTTTTGTTTAAATTTCCTCCAAGATATCGATGAATGCCAGTCTAATCCTTGCATTCATGGAAATTGCATCGATCAAGTGAATGGTTATACCTGCCAATGCGATGCTGGCTTTACAGGAAATATATGCAATGATGGTACAAATTTTGATTTAAAAATGAAGTAAAATTAAAATATTATATTATTTTAACTGGTGTATCTTGCCATTTTATTGTCTTTTTTATATTATCCCCTGTTTTTCTCACTGCTTGCTCCATATAGATATTGATGAATGCAGCTCAAATCCTTGCATTAATGGCTATTGCAATAACTTTTTAAACGAATATAATTGCACATGTCGATCTGGTTGGACAGGCAGTATTTGCACCATCAGTAAGTCTTCTTAATTATTTTCATACTGACAGAGATATAGCATTTCTTTGATAATGCTATACCAGTAACTATCCATTGGATTCGATAATTAAGTTGAATATGTAGTATAAGCATCTCTAGTTATTAAATGATAAAATAAATACTTTTACTCTTATTACAAAGATGTTGACGAATGTCTATCAAGTCCATGTATTCACGGAAATTGTACTGATGGCATAAATAAATTTAGCTGCCAATGTAATTCTGGTTATACTGGCTTAGTTTGTAATACAGGTAAAGAAATTTATTATTAGCTCAGGGAGATTATATTATTGCTTATATTGCTGCGGTCTCTTTCTCTTAGATGTCAATGAATGCACTTCTAACCCTTGTATCCATGGAAATTGTAGTAATTTAGTGGATAGTTACTCATGTCAATGTTTCTCAGGTTGGACTGGGGCCATTTGTACTTCTGGTAATTCAAGATTGACTACGTAAAATTTACGTCAAGTAGAATATTCTATTTATCTTAATTAGTAAGAATGACAAATAATTTCTTACTTCTACTTAAGGCATTGATGAGTGTCTATCTAATCCGTGCATTAATGGAAATTGCACAGATGAAATTAATCAATTTAGTTGTAAATGTTTCGATGGCTTTAAAGGCACAATATGCAATGAAGGTTAGTTAAAACAAGTAATAACTAAAGCATAAGTGTTTGCAACTTGCAAACCAACAAATTTGATCTTATTCATTTTATGGGAAATCAGTGAAGTCAATTTATTAAAATAACTCTTTGAATACAGTTCCTTAAATTCATGTCATTTACATCCTTTCAAATTGCCTACTTCGATGCATCTTAGATGTGGATGAATGCCTTTCCAATCCATGTAAAAATGGCCAGTGTAATAATTTAGTCCATAGCTATAATTGCTCATGCCAGCCAGGTTGGGAAGGATTCATTTGCGATCAAGGTATTATCTATTACTTCGGAATCGGTAACATAAATAATAGGATATGTAGTTCTAGCAAGAGCTTGGATATCAAATGGTTTTTCGCATAATAGAGATGCTTATGATTTATTTAATGAGAAAATAAACGAGTTTATAGTACGAGTGTAAACAAATTGTAGGAAAATGCAATAAGATTTCGATATATTTGCGGTTTGTTATTTTATTAATATTTTAGCTTTCGAGCACTCAGAAGTAATAGAAGTATTACGTAGCTGTAAAAGAAAATTAACAAATTCCAATGAGTAAATTCAGCTTATTTATAGCATTATCAAACCTACTACTACAAATAACAGTTTGGATTCGATATAGCTATTACGTATAGAATACTATAATGTGATCAATAGTTACTTAGGCCATACAGGATGTGCTTAATGGTTACACTATTAGGCGTTAATATTTCGTGTCAGAGCGCTTAGAAAGAAGTAAAGGTTTATCTATGTTGCGGCCAAAACCCGATGTACCTCTATATTACAGTAATTTTACTAATAATCTACGCTATTCTAGAAATTAATGAATGCAACTCCAGCCCCTGCCTTAACGGTCAGTGTGTTAACTTACTGGATGGATTTATTTGCCAATGCTTGCCTGGGTTTACTGGCAAGACTTGCCAGACTGGTCAGTTTCCTCGATTAATACTACCATAAACTAACATTTCCTTATGATAGATAGGATAATTTATTCTATTTCCGATGCAGATATCAACGAATGTAGTTCAACCCCCTGCTTAAATGGAAATTGCCGCGATTTCATAAATTATTTTAATTGCTCCTGTAATCCAGGCTGGGAAGGTACAACTTGTGCGATAAGTAAGTACGATACTATTTTTACAGTTTCTTGCTATTCGTATGAAAAAACTCATTCTTGGACGAATTAAATTCTTATAGTCTGTTTGTAATTAACCTAAATGTCAAATTGGAATGCCAAGTTTTTGATGATAATTTTTTTATTCTATGTAGCCTCTAGAAAAAGAATGGAATTATAACTAATTTTATTCACTTTAATTAATAGACACAGATGAATGTATATCTAGTCCTTGTAGCTATAATGGAACTTGCTTTGATTTATTAAATAAATATCAATGCAATTGTTTGCCTGGATATACTGGTGTTCAATGTGAAACAGGTTTGAGAGTTTATTACAGCTACTTTAAGATAAGCCCTCCTTCTGACCAGGATTTTCATAATCAATAGCATTTTAACAATTTTGAATTATGATTTTGAACAGACATAAATGAATGTAGTTCGAGCCCATGTTTACAAGGTCTATGCACAGACAAAATTAACGGTTTTACATGTAATTGCAGCCAAGGTTGGACAGGAAAATTTTGTAATACAGGTAAGATGAAGTCTAATTTGAATATGACAATTTGGCTTACATCTAATCAAGTGCAATAGAATTACTATTACACCATGATCTAAACATTTAAATTAATTATCTTAATCCCTTTTAATGGCAACAAATATCTAGTTAAGTACCGCTTCATATAAATTTATAAATTGAGAGTTTAAATCGTTACTGTTACTAATTCGATATAGATATCAATGAATGCTTATCCAGTCCATGTGTCTATGGGGGCTGTAACAACTTAATAAATGCTTTTACTTGCTCTTGTAAAGCTGGATGGACTGGTGCATATTGTGAAACTGGTATAGTACTATTATCAAGTGCTTCTATTTTAGCTTACTCGTGAGAAATTATCTTTTCAGGAGATGTAAAACTTTTAATAATCGTGTCCCTGTTCTATTCCGTCTAGAAATTGATGAATGTTCATCTAATCCTTGTTTAAATAATGGCACTTGTACGAATACCATTAATGAATATTTCTGCAATTGCAGTCAGTTTTATACTGGTATTAAATGTGAAACATGTAGGTAGATAGCTATCTAATGAATTTTTTAATCAAGAAATTAGCCTAACAAATTATGATAATTCTCCTGTTTAAAATTCAAGTTGAGTATCTAAATTATTTAATTAATATTAATACAACGATAGTTAGTTTCATCATACACCTAGTCAGTTCCATCCAACAGTAAAATTTATATTTCATAGCAGGTTAATGTGGAATTGAAGTTTTACTGGAGCTATATAAAATAATAACTGTAATTTCTACTGCCACCCATGATTAATATATGATTAATTAATTTTCTACCTCAGTTATCACCCCATGCTTTAATAACCCTTGCGTTCATGGTTATTGTAATGGAACTACATCTAGCACTAACTGTTTGTGTAGACCTGGATGGCAAGGTAGTTCCTGCCAACAAGGTATGGATTTAAGCTAATTTTTAACTCCTTATAAGCTTTAATACTATAAGAAATTGATTGTCCTCATTTATAAAGAGGGGTAAAAATACTGCTGCTGTGCTTACTGTTCACTTAGATTTGAACAAATCAATAGCGGCCGTAAATATGATTCAATGATGTTCCACAATATTTTAGAGTATAAACATAACTACAAAATTTCTCACGTAGATTTTATTCTTATCATGTAATCCTTTGATCGCATTATAATATTTGCCCTAGTAATTACTTCAGATCTTTTCTATCTATGAAAGCTATAGCAGTTATCATTTTGTGCATGCACATTTTAGTAATCTATAACTATGCATGAGCGTAAATTGTACTTAATTCATATCCAGGCGTTAGCCTTAATTATCATTTCTTCTATTTTGCATGATTTGCAATCCCAAAATCACCGTTGCCGCTTTATTAATAACAAACATTTACAGAGAATTAATCAATTCACAAGATATAGATGTCTTATACGTTCGAGCAACCCGTTTAATTCTACAATTTAATAATTTTGCTACTATTTATACGTTTGCATGAGTTATGATTGTTGATATTAATCATACAGCCTTGCATTTTACTACTTTATACTTATCTTACATCTAACTCCAATTACAAGCAAGCTCATACGAATCTTTTTATTTATTTCGTGATTGATAGCTGTCCAAATTGCTCCCTTGCCTCAATTATTTTCTATTGCAATCTACGAAAATAATAATGCTCAGATGCAATGTTCGATTCCATCACTGAATACAGGGCAGGGTTTCATTGCTACGCCAGTTAATTTCACTTGGCTTAGAAACGGAAACAATATCGTGCCGGGTAAAACACGTATACACTATCTTCTCTGATATTTCGTATTTACTATAGATATTATTCTTGTAGATTTACAAACAACGATCGAAACACAAGGCACTCTTTCTAAGCTAACAATGAGTGGCTTATTAGCTTCTACTTCGCCGCTTCGAATTCGATGCCTTGTTGCTAATATATTAGGTAGTTCTAGCGTTGAAGCAGATGTTACAGTTCTTCCTTCAGGTAATCATTTCAACATAGTTTGCTTACTAGTAAAGTTTGCTACGACTTATACATCTCTTGTATAATGATTTTGATTAATGCAGATGTCAACAGTATTTGTCCAGCAGAAAGACAAGATCAAATTAACTGGTTATTAACACCTGCCAACAGTTATAACTTTAGAGATTGCCCTGATAATATGCTAGGTAATCATAAAATTTACCTAAAACTTTGGTTTTAAAGATAGTTTTGAAATTAATATAATACTAAAAGGTGATAGCTCACTTTAAATAACGACAAAAGCTCTAAATTATGGAGCAATTAAAGCCATTACTGTTCAATTTCTTACTGTTATGAATCCTTATTTTATTACTGGCTTCATCTGCATAGGTAATGCATCAAGATATTGCTTGCCTGGGAATAGCAGTAATCTGCCATCATGGCAACAACCCGATCTAACCAATTGTAAAAGTAGTTCCTTACTGGTTCTACATCAGTCTCTAAAGGTAAAATTGATCAGTGCTGCTACTGCAGTTCTCTATTTTATAGTTAAAAAGTCAATAATCCTATAAAATTGAGAAACTACGCTATAAAAGTTAGTCATACATATACAGCAATAGAGAAGCTGATTATTGTTTTTATGATTCATTTTAATAAATCCAGGATATTTTACCTGGTCGCGATGATTTAGTTCTATTTAATGACATTGGCACAACAGTTGAGTTGACTTCGATGTCAAATATAAATATTCAAGGAAACTTGATTGAGTCTTCGATCATCATGAAAATACTTGGCTCAAAGTTAATAACACCATCGTTACTAACGGAAACTGTATTGCGGGTAAGATAAATCAGTAGAAGAATATCTCTCTGTAGACAACAAAATAAACAGGTTAAATCTTAAATCGGCAATATTTTATGTCTATAATGAATATGACAGAACTATACAACGATAGCGAGTAATATTTTACGACAACAAAACAAGGATTCGTGGAATTATCTTCAAGAGCGACAGGTTTGCATTAGAATTCTTCAATTCGAGATTATAATAACAATCTTTCAAGAATCCTAAGAAAACTGGACTTTAGATAGCAATTAGATATAATCTTTGCCATTTTGCTGGACATACTTAATTATAATCTACTTAAATTTGCAAATACATGATGAATTGTTAACATCTTGCTATTTATTGCAATAACCGACGACTTTGGCAGATTCCTGATGCTCAAATTCCAGAAATTATACAAAACTTAAATTCTGTAGCTGAAAGATATAGTCAGACCCTTGTCCCCACGCAAATAGCACAAATCACACAAGAAAATATTTGTAAGATTTGGAATTTGATATTTTACATGCCATTTATTGTAGGTGTAAATTTTTAGCACAATTAGATTAACTAAATTATTATCACTTCTGTTGCAGATTTGAAAGTGCAGAGAATTGCTAGAGATCAATCTCAGGATTTCATTTTTCCTGCAAATCAACAATTAGACTCTACTTCTAGAATCATTTTACCTTCATCTCTCTTTACTGGAGATTCAGGTATTATTTATATCTAAATGCCAAGATTGAGCGTATTTCTCCAGCTTGCGATAACATCAATTAAGTGATTACTAGAACGATTGCTACATCTGTAATTGGAATAGCGATCTAGACAATAAATGAATCAATCGAGAGCAATAATGATCGCCGTAAACTCTTATTTATAGGCGATTTAGAGAGCTTTATTGGCATCAAATTCTCGAAACTTCAATCTCTCTGGACCTTCGGGCAGGATCAAATATATTTCAGGTTCGCAAAATTCAAGTTGATTAGCGGATGTGTTCTAATAACAAACTTAAAAGTTTTTTTTGAGTTATTATAAGAAGGATTCCTACAATACAATAGCTAGTAATTAGGTGAAGAGAGATCGTCTTTCTGAATGCTTTATATAATTCCCTTTTATAACTGTTATGTATGCTTTATAACAGTTGGTGATTAAAGCTTGTTGATTAATATAGTATATTAAGAACACTTTTACTATTCTTTTTCTTTACTATTGCATATAACAAGGTTAACGTAATTTTATGATTGCTATACAGTTTTTATTGCGTTCAGATTCTATAATAACAATTCGAGTTCACAAATTATAGTCGCTGCCGTGCATTAAATAAAACAAACTCAATTTGACAATCGTAATCCTTAGGCGTAAGTGTTGTTTTTTCTGGTTTCCATAGATATTGATCATCTACTTTCTATCTCTAATTTTAAATATTAGCATGGCTACTACCGTTACTTAACTACATTGACTAACTATATTAAATCCAATAAATCAAATTAATTAAAATAGATATCCACGATTCAATCATACATAAACTGGTATTCTTTCCTCATATTCTACATGTTTGTGTCCTTCGTTTATTTACTCCTTCAATTTTAAATATTAGTATTTTTAGCTGTGTTATTTAAATAAATTGACTGACTATATCATATCTAATAAATCAAATTTAAATAATTAAACTAATATTCTTTCCTAAGATTCTGCAGATGCTGCGTCCATCGTTTACATATCCTCTCTGATTTTTAAATTGATACAGTCCTGCTTGCTATCTAAATTCATTTTCGTCGAGCTCATTAAAATTTCTTGCTATCTACAGTCAAGTTAAGAAAGGCAAAATGACGGTCATGAAGTCAGATGTTTTATCCGCTTCTTTTATTCCGGAAATGAGCTTCATCCTTGATCCACCCGTTATATTGCATTTCCAGCATAGCGGTGTAAGTTGTATATATATATAGTAGTACGAAACTTTCCCCATTTTAGTATCCAGCTATCCATTCAACACTCTAAATATCTATTTTCAGCCTATTGATCTTAAAATCGTCCAGCCAGTTTGTTGCTTCTGGAACTATACCAGGTAGAAGAACTAAATCCTAGTAGATATACTGTTCAATTACAACGTATAGGTACATGGTTTAACTTATCGTTCGACTAACAACTTCTTCAATATTGCAGCAAATCCTGGTCTGACAATGGTTGCCGCATCAAGTCGACAAATTCAACTCATACCGACTGCCAATGCACCCACTTAACAGTTTTTAGCTTACTAACCACTTCAATTGAGGTCCGTAATTATTTATTAAACCCATATCAAGAATTAAATTCAATACCTATTCCTTTCCAATCCTTACTTTAAAATTTGATTATCATGATTCTTTGCTATCCAGTGCATATAAGTTCATTAATATCAGTATTAATCCAGCGACTTTTACTAATTTTAAACTCAAAATATCGGAGAAAAGAAACATTGTTTTGTTCATCTTACTACATCTTCTACTCATTAATCTTTTGATTTCAGAAAGAAATAGAAGTTCAAGGTTACGTTTCTAGTGCGACCTTGATCTGCTTCGGCTTAGGAGCAGCTGGCAGTCTTCTTACTTTAGTACTTAGTATTATTGGCATCATGTAAGTATCTGATACTCATTATCTCCCTAATGTCTAATTGCTAGTTAAATAATACTACTTACATTACTATAAAGTAACAAACTTATATGATGCAAATAGCCGTTATCTTAATTTTCATCGATTATTTTCCTCCTTTAGTAAACGTCGAAGAAAGTACGATGGAGTGGTTTTGTGCTTGTCAATATTCTTCTTGCTGTCATTAGGCTTAATATTTTTCGGAGCTTTACAGCCTCAGTTGGCTTCAGCAGATAGAGTTAGTTAATTCACCATGAATGGAATACAATGTAGATTTCTAGCTATAAAATTTTTGATAACATGGCTAATTTAGGTGTTCTCGCTAATTTGGCAGATGAAACGATCGTCAATTTATACTTTATGCTACTAATACATTAATGTGATTACTAAGATATTACCGTCAAAATAATTTAACGGTTGTAACTAGATAATAAATTCTATCAAATTTGCTAAGTTTCGACCATTAATGCATTTACAATTATCTTATTTTCATTTAGGTAATTTGCCTCATTATTACTATAGCAACTCATTACACGTCCTTGGTCATATTTTTTCTTATCCCGATTATATCCCATCTGTATTTATCTCTATCCTTAAATACTTATTCCATTAGCTTGAAATGGTCTTTACCGTTAGCACTAAGTGAGTATTAGGTATACTAATTATAATTTATTCATTATGAAATCAATTTAAACATTCCATTTTGCTTTTCCAGTTATTCCTATGATACCTCCTGGAGTTGCAGCTGGTGTATGGAAGCAAAGCTACATTTCTTCTTCAATGTAAGAGAGTTTAATTCAGTACCTATACTGAAATTCGGCAATAGTTCTATAAAAGTCCATAGTACAATGAGATGTATATATGCAATTAATATGATGCAAATCTTTCTAAGATGTTGGTTAAGCTCTATTAACTCTATGGTTATGGCTTTTATCGGCCCAGCTGGGCTGATGGTTTTGGTAATGGCAATAGAAGCTACTGTACCTGATATTATAGATTTGATATTTATATAAGAGCAAAGGTTTAACGCAGAATTTACCATATAATATTTAATTAATCTTTAATGCTGCTTTACTTAGGTTACTATAATCGTTTTAATTTGTGAGATGGTTCGGTATAACAAGATTGTTTCAACTACTAATCGCTTCTGGTTAGTAACATTTAGAACGTCGTTAAGAAAATTCCTTCTGCTTAATGACATGCGTTAATCATTTTAAATCTGTATTTGTTAGGCTTAAATTAGTATTCCTATCCCTATGGTCATTAATCGTTGCCAGTGATCAAATTGTTGCTGCAATCTACTTCACCTATAAATATACTAATTTAGAAATTCTAGTTAACGTGTTAATTGCAGTACAGGTAAGCATCCTCTTATAATAAGTATAAGTATGAATAACTGCATTGAAATTGTCATCAGTATCAAATTCATTAGTTTGCTTTCGCTGAAACAGCGCTTCAAGATAATCTCTTAATTGATTAGCTCTAATATTAATATCTTCTATGTTTGCAATATTACTACTATAGATATGATTTGTAGACGTAGATTTATCGACTAAATTATCATTTGAATGATTAGTAGTGATACCTAAGTTCTTCATTATTTTTTATGCGACAATATCGAATAATGAGGCCAGAAGCAAAGTACTTGATATAGAATTATCGACAATGACAAACGTATATACTATTACATCTTGTTTTTAGGGCATCATTACACCTGTTTTCTATCTTTTTGGGGATTATATCGTAAGTTTATTTATTCTGATAAATAAACGACTTCAATAGGTTAACGAATTATTTTAAAATGAATGCTGCTTCTTCGCAATCCAAGATTCAGTAAGACAGTATTGATAATCGTATCACAAACTATTTTCTATTTATATCTAGAATGATGGGGAAACAAAACGAACGACATTGTAAGTGCTATTCGTAATAATGCGTTTTAAATTATAATCGATTTACGGCTATTAAAATAAGAAGTTCAATCTGTTTACTGAAATAGAGACATGATGAGAGGTCACCAGATGACATCATTTGTAAATTCTTTCCAAATTCCAAGAGCGGATAGCGACGTGTATGTTCTAACATAGTGAAAATTTGGCGTTTAGCAACCTTTCGATGTGCTTCAAATACGATCACTATGACTTATCATTTGATTTAAAGTTTAATGGTTCCTTTGCATTACTCGTTAACTATCCATTCTGTATATTAGTAAGAAAGAACCGCAGGAAACGGAACCTGATAGTGAAGAAAATGATTATGATAATGACATAACAAGAGGTTCGTTTATCATGGAAGTTAGCTTGAGTCATTATGGAGATGATAGCGACGATGATGAAGAGGAAGATTCGTTATCGTAAGTCTTTACGATTTCTTCCTATTTTAGTTTAGCAAAATAACTGCATAATATCTATATACTTCATAATATACTTAGGTTGACCAATGGATCAAATGTAGATACTCGAAGCACTATTTCTCGAAAAAGTTCTAAGAAGGAAATTACGTAAGCTTTTCAATGTTATGTTTCAATTTGATATTACGAAACTATTATCATTAGGGCTATACCAATACTAGATTTATTTAATTATTTACGTAATCATCTATTCATTTATAATATTGTATAGCACGGTTGAGAAAGTTATGGTCGTTGATCCCATTATGAAAAATAATCAGCAATCTGGTAAAGCAAATACTGAAAACGAAGCATTGTAAGTTGCTTTTGAAAATAAAATGCTAGGCAGCAAGCTAATATTTACTATCAAGATACAGCTTTTGATAAAATGATCAAAGAATTTAATATTTATTGCTATTAATATAATTTTTGGTAGTTTCTGTAATTGTATTATATTTTACTTAGTTTCCTGTGGCAGTAATTTTACCAGAATTGCCCCAATGGAACTTCTAGCCACTGTAAATCTACATTACCTCCCAAGTCGTGGATTTTAAACGACGCTCTACTGTTAACAAATTTCTTAGAAAATATTTTATCAGTCTTTTCAAACTAATACTGAAACAAATTTAATATTCTTTGTTTTTAACATTTTAAAGCTAATATTAAATGTTCACTATGATTAAATCGAAATTTTAAATAGCTATTTATTCTCTTCTATTTCGAACATTAGCTGAATTCTGTAGCTATTTAATTAACATTTACACGCTACTTATGCGTTTAGCTTAAATTCACATGAGATGATCAAATCCATTTTAATGCACTAAAATAATTGCTAAATACTCGTGACGTAATTTCGTATGATGTTCTTAAGTCATTATTTATTAAGATTTTAAAACTATTCAATTCTATGTATAGTATACACATATATCTTATTTTGGTTGTACTATAAAAATACGTTGGATTAATCATTCAAGATCTGTTTTAAAATCTTTCATAAAATTTCACTATGACTCATATCTGGCTTTGGGTATTGAAATTTGTACAGTCGAATAAATTAATACTTAGCTACCTTAAAATGTAGCACTAGTCTTGCATATGTATTGGAACGCATGGCTAAGCATGAATTTTGAAAATTTGAAGTTTATTAAAATTTTTATTAAGCTAGAGCTCTATACTTCCTCAAATTAAAATCAATTTGTGTGGTCGAACAAATTAATGCCATTTTTTAAATACTGTAACATCTTTAATATCTATTGAATACATGGCTAAGAATAAACTTTAAAAACTTAAAGTTTTATTAAAATTTTTATTTAGCGAGTGCTTCATACTCACTCTAATTGAAATCAATTTATATCAAAATTTTCAGGACATCAAACCATATTTGTAGCTTTATAGAATATGCTATAGATCTTATTTAACTTTGTTTATTCTAAACGATAATACAAATATGTGAAAGTTTCTCCTGCCTCATTAATCTACCCTCGAATTATATACAACTGCAATTCTCTGGCATTGCCTATTAATAGTAAGAAGCAAGTCTCAAATCTAATTGACTTTTCGCTCTGTCATTTTGTATCTATAAAGCAATTTTAACATCATATCTTAGCAACTTATGCGATTCTATAGCTTTATATAAAACATACCGCGAAATTCCTTCATGCACTTTTGCATGATATCTTAGCATTTAGGCTATGGTTGGCTTGGTACCGATACGAAATGGTAAACTTGAAATATTAGGTTGCTCCTTGCGTAGAAAGCAAGTCATAACAGGTAATATTATGAGCTACTACGAAATGATCGAGTACGTACATTATCAATTTAATTTCCTTATAGATCTCTATAATCGTCTACTCGGTTGCTATAGCAACCGATACTAGTTTGCACCCAAAACCGCCCACGAAGACTTTTTGCTGCATCAAACTGAGTCTAAGCTCCATACAGCACTATAGCAACTATATTCTACACATTCAATTGGCGTGATAAATTTACAGTAATAAGAAGCTTTACTTCTGTTGCATTAGTAGTATAATGAACAGTAACAAAAGAGCATATGATATATCGTATATACTTAATACAGGCCTATCCTCTGTACTGTAGTCTGTTATCGTAGTAAAAATCTGGCATTCTGAGTTTCTTTTATTGTTTGCTAGGACTTAAATATTCCTTTCTCGAAATTTGCTTCTGCTGTACCCTATCACCGAAATGGAAGACATTTATTTCCATTAAATTGATAGCCATTATATATTTTTGTAAGTAAAATAGTACTAATTTTAACGATATAGTCTGTTAAATCTTGAGTGCATATTATAGCGTAAGGATTAATGATAGCATAAAGTTGCTAAATTATCTTAGGACGAGAGCATTTACCAATATTATCGCCAAACTTTACCCAGTTGCTAGCCTATGCTGTAGTAGACGTTTAAAAGCATCAAGTATTTTTAACGAACATTATAAGTTTCTACTGGTTATTATTTACTCTAAGATATAGATAGAGGCAAAAATATAACTTTGGATTTCAATCTTGTCCTATGCAAATTAATACGATGCATGATAGGTTTTCATTTCATTTTAAAATTTAAAATTTTTACCAAACTTTCAACTCTTATCATTTTTCTACATTATTTCATTGCTATTTACCACATATAATGATTTCACTGACGTAATCGTCTATCTCTGAAGATAGGTTACTCTATATTTAACTTTAACATAAAGACGTTATAGCCACTTCATACTATGCTATGCTTTATTCTACCTATTTCCTTTCATGTAATCAATCAAATTTTCTGATTAAGTCATCCTATTTGAAGATACATGGAAACAAGTTGCATAAGTCAATCAATACTATACAGTATACATCACTCAGAATAAGAGCCAACTTAAATACCAGCGCCTAAAATGTCCAGGTAGCTACATTATAAATTTAGTGCTTTCTAACGATTAGGTAAATCAGTTTCGTATAAGTACTAAAAATGTTATTTTACCAAGTGGTAGAAGAGTTCAGTTTCCAATATCATTAAAATCTGGAGGCAAAGAAATTGTAATCGGGTCAGGTAAGTTTCTTTCGTGATTACTTCTACTAAAGGGATCTGTTAACACTTACAAGAGTTTATCTCAAAAAATTATAGACAGAACGGTATCTATTGGTAAACCAAAGAAAGCATCGGTAGGTACTACATATAGAAAAACAGTCAGTAAAAATTGTCCGAATACTTTCTTAATATGTTCATTTATTTATTTGATTAGACAAATACAACGAAACAAACTAAGCCTCAACGCAGTAATACTAATAGCTCTGTTCCGAATAAGAGTGCCAAGGTCTTGAAAACATCACAACCTGTAAAGAATTCAAAGCCTAAATTAGCTAATCAAGATAAATCCGGTAGGCCTAGGCCAAAGCCAGATGATGCTATTAAAAGTAGGATTAACTCATCAAAGAGTGGATCTAAAACAGCAATAAAGCCTGCACAAACTATAAAAAATGAGCACATAACGACAGCAGGAGATGTAGGACTATCGACAGCACCGTTACAGACTTATGATCATGCAACAAATCAAGAATTGTTAGAATCAACTATACCCGAGAAGAAAATATCAGAACCTACATCGGCTCCAAATATCGTTGAAAGGCTGGAAGAACCACAAAGTAATCTTCTAAATGATGATGATTTACTTAAAAGTATTAAGATGCATACACATGAACAGTCATCGAGTAATCGAATTGTAGTTGAGCAACGTCTAAATGAAAAATGGAAACAAGACTTGGGTAAAAATGATTTAGCTCAGCAATATATTGATAATTAGACACTACTTAATAATACTAATAAACCCACTTGTTTTAACAGCTAAACAGGTACAGGAAAGAAAGAAAATGAAAGATGCGATCAAGAATGTATGTCAAATTTACGTCAATTTTGCTTTCTCATGAAATAAAATATTTCTCCAAGCATAATTCCGCTTCACTTACAGCATATCTCATAGGCAACTAGATTACAAACGTACAACGTTATCTTTTACTTAACTATAGCGTAAAGACGATGTAGAAGAATATTATAATCCATGGGGAAGGCCAGGATGTGGTGCACCAATAGTAGATGATAACCGACAAATTGTTCATGATTATAGAAGGAGAAAATTAAATGAAAGCTTAGAGATGGTACTTACTAGTATAGATGCCTGCCCATTCCTGCCTCTCGTTATCTACTGGCAATATTTATTAATTATATAATTACATTTTGCAGCCCACACAGACTGATTCTTTACCGAGGCAAGAAAATACATTAAATACCGAAAGTCGATTATCTATTCATATGGATCAAAACAAAACCTGTAATTTCTAAATTATAGTATTTTGAATAATAGTTATGAATATATTCAATGTTAGAATTTCGTTACTATGGGTTTCAATTTTAGCTCAATGCTATCTTGTTTTCGTATAAGTCATCTTGACATATCAATAAATTACTGCATATCTAAATTTTGCTTTTATAACCTGTACTTTAAAAATGATATTTGATCTTAGCTCTATCCCCAACGACTAATTTTAATGATAATTTGCCACCAGCCATGAGATCATCCATGATTATAGGGGTGAGTTTGAGAGACCTTAATGTTATAGAAAGACTGCAAATTAAAAGGAAGTATCTACTGTCTGGTATACGTAATAAATTACTAGAAATTGAATGTGTCGATAAACTTTCAGAAATAAAAAAATTCAATATTTCTAATAGGAAGTTGCTCCATCAAATTGGGTTGATCAAGTAAAAGAGCAAGAAAAGCGCCGATGGCTAGCAGATTTAGGTCGGAAACAACTACATAGCGTACATAATTTCTCTTAGATTCTAATTCATAAATGTTTCTATCATCATAAATTGATAAATTTACCTTTTAACTGATTAGAACAACAAATTCAATCCAAGCAGCAACGTAAAAAAACTAGTAAATTTTCTTCGGAGGTTAGAAACGAAACGATTTGAAAAATGCATATATATATATAGAATGATATAAAGAATAATCTTCGTGTTAATGAGCAATAATTAATGCAGCCAATTTGGAGATAGTAAATAAATTCCTTAATCTTGCAGTGATTTATAAGCAGTGTACGTAATAGAGGACATTAAGTAAATATGATGTTATCATATAGGCGCAAGAACCGAGTAATTTACTAATTCAGAACCAACAGCAAATTTCACCCGTTGCAAATAAAGAAGAAGATGAAAACAAGTATGCTATAACATTGATTTATTCAGAATGATTGTAAAACTCAAAGTTTTAATTATTGTATGATAGATAAACTGAGACTAAGTATCACTGAATAATTTATATAATCTATTAAATTTACCAATAGGTCTTATTTAAGAGGCAGAGGGTTTGCTTTAGATTCTCAAACTCAGAAAGAGCTTGAAGCAAAAAGAAACCGAGAAATGCAAAATCAAGTAAATAATCAAATTATATTTTATTGTCAAAATTAGAAAAGACGATAAATTTACGATATGAAAAAGGATCATAAATGAGCGGAATCGGGATATTAATTTTGAGTAAATAGGGTGTAGAAACATACACATTGTTACCCAACCATACCATCTGTTCCTTGCACATACATTGTATTTATTTAATAAATACGAAACATGATTTATGTCCAGTTGCTTAAACAATACAGTTATAGAAGTATCAATCATCTCTTTCTATCTATTGTAGCTTTATAATAAACAACAAATGGAGGAAAAACAACGAATAAAGCAGCAAGAACAAGATAAACTTCTTCGTGAAGAGAATTTAGAAATTCAACGATTGGAATCCAATACTAGTACGGTAGATCAAGCAGTTCCTGATGATCAACAAGAAATGCTGATCTCAGAATTAAAGCAGGTAAAATATTTTTAAAATCTACATCAAGATTTATTTCTATAATACATGTATTAACAAAGTGCTCACCACTCCAATTACAGAAGAGGAAAGGCAACAATAACGTTGATAATACATATCAAAAGATTTTAGAAGCTCAGGAAGCCGCGAAATTGGTGAATTTTAATTCCATGATTGAAAATCTAAGCACCAGCTTACGATAACTTTAATTAATTGCCAAGTTGAGCTACCTGTATCTCAGTACTAAAATTTATTAAGCACTATTGATGAATTCTGTATTACAATGGTTACTGTCTTAGGCTAAAAAGGAGAAGCTAATGAGAAAACTTAAGAAACATGGACATGACGTTTCCAATTTATACGGAAGAGAAGGTCAGTAAATGAATGTGTTTGATACCTTGTTGTTATTCCCTATTTTATAGCAGGCCGCTAACAGCGTCTATAATATCATCTTACAAATTCAATACTACAAGATGTAGCTATCTTAGCATTATTAGACAGTTCAATCACTATTGCCTTAATTACCGTCCGCTATCTCGTAGTTAAATAGTTGCCTTTTTGATTTTAATGTTTAAAAGCCACGAACTCGATATTCAGAAACTGTTTATGGAATAATTATACAGTAAACATATGAGGAATAGAAGCTTTTAGAATTCTGTTATGTTAACTTATTGATGTTAATTTCGTCCTCAACTACTACAACAGGTGGCCATGCTAGAGAAAAGCCGATGGAATCTCGTTATAATAAACCTATGGTACCCGTATTGGAGAGAGTAGAAATCCCTGAACCGACGAATGATCCAGCTGTAATGCAAAATGCTTCTGATCCTGATGACATTCAACTACAAAGTCCTCGTCGAAAGAAGGAAGGCTTACTATTAGATTCAAGTAGTCATGCTATTCCTGTTCCTATTGAACAATTGGCAGAAGAAGAAGAAGAACGATTAAAAGAAGAAGAGATAACTCCTCAACAAAGCCAATATGACCATTTTAGGTATATCGATACTGTAAACTCCTATCTATCATCGTATAGAGTTCAAAATTTAACTTAATTGAGCATATCATGGAGATGCTTCAGATTTTGGTAAATTAAAATTATCAATTGGAAATTATTTCTAGATAAGCTTATGAATGTTAATTAAGCTGATGCTTGTTTCGATCATGTTATAGTTAGAATTACATTGAAAATGAGTTTAACTGGAATATACACCCTTGTAGAGATTACGGCAGTCGAGAGGATACTGGAGAAGAGTATACTAGCCCACAAGCCATCGCTAGAACTTCAAATAAGATCAGGAAATCAGTGGACAACGATATCCGCGAAAAGGGTAAAGGAAATAAGTCAGATTCTCGTAGTCACGATAAAAATGAAGCCAAAGGAAGTCATAATTATAGTAAAATTACAAAGTCGAGAGCAGTGAAGACACAGGACAAAGTTAATGCTACAGCTCGACGTAATGGCTTACAGAATGATAAAAATAAAACCCATAAAAGTATACAAAGTAAAACTAATAAACCGAATGGGGACAAACGAGAAAGAACTGAAAGAAATAATAAGCCTTCCATCAGATTGATTAATAGCCCAAAATCGGATCCTAGCCCAACAGTAGAGTATGATCGTGATCCAGCAGAAGAAATGTACACTCCTGAACCGGAATTGAAATCTCAGAGAAATTATGTCGTTCAAAACCATAGAGGAATGAAAGAATTAAAAAGCCGATCTGAAATTGCACCTATTATGGTAAGCGTTAATTTAATGAGTAAATACTGTTGATAATGTTGAAGATAGGAGATCAGTATCTGTTATATTGCTAAATATTCCTATCAGCAGCAAAATCTATTCCATAATGATCATACAATTATTTATGTTTATCGTCATAGACAACATCACCTATACCCTCCAATGAGGTTCTTGCCATGAGATTAGTAAATTACGAATTAGAAGCGGAAGTTCGCAAATTGAAAGAGCAGGTACGGCAGAAATAGCTTAACTATACGTTATGACTGAAATGAATAAATCTATGGATATCAGTAACATATTGCCTATGAAATTAACTTATACCGTATCTTATTACTGCATAAAGTATGATAAAATAGCTATTATTATAATTCAGCTATCTGCGGTCTTTGCCTAGTACGCGAATCATATTATTTATTATACCTTCTTATTATGCTGTACGCTAGATTCAAGATCTAGGGCGGCAAGTTATGATAAAACGAGATCCAACCCCATCTCCAAGTAAACCTATTGTATCTATACCTACTGTATCCAATGATCTACCGCAAGATGAAATTTTAGACCAATTAGCAACTTTGCGTAAGGTAAAGTAGAAGATACTGGATTGGAAACGAGATTATGCATGCAGTCTAGAAACTGTTATCTATTTCTTACTAACGAAAATGGACTCTTTTTTATTATCATCCTTTCAGGGTCTCTTACTAAGACGAAATGAATTAGAAAGAGCTTACACACCGTACTCTGCTCAAATTATGAACGATTCTGAATATACCTAATTATTTATAATGGACGTTATTATTCATGTATATCTGGATTTAAAATTATCGTTTATGTGATAGGCCATCTACCGATGTCTATGAAAACAAGATAAAATGATCACCTATTGTGTGTTATACTACAGCGATATTCTAATTTTGTACATGATTGATCAAATTTGACTCTTTTACTTTCAATGGCCATTTTTTATTTATTATTTTTTACTGTTTGGTTATTATTCTAAATGAATTGATCCTCAGTGATCCAACTTGGGTAATAGACATTATGATCAAGTCTTGTTGGAATGCAAGCTAGACGCTTCTCGTTTGATCTCTCTACCTGTAAATTAATTTATTATCGATGATTAATCGAGAGTAATAAAGATACAGTATAGACCCGATTTAAAGCAAGATAGACCGCACAGTTGTCGGTCTTTTCTGGTTTTATTTGGAGTTTAAAATTTCGAATGTCATTGAAACTGAATGTAGGCGGTATTTTGCGTCCAAAAAGGATTGATCTATGAAAGTCAATTGATGTGAAAAAGGAATCCTTGTTCTACATAAGAAATTCTCTTTCAAAAAGTCCTAGTTCGTTGGTAGCATATTCCATTTGCTACAGTTACATGGACTACTAAAAATGAATGAAAGGGATAGGAAATGGTCCGGCAATCGACTTATTATTTTGCTAGTCATTTCAGACCAACACGATTTAGAAATTCTACAGTCAAAAATAACTTCATACTGTAGGATTCGAATATCTATGTTGATCCATCATTTCATCTATATCTACGTATATAAAATGTATATCCATACTTTAATATTAATACTATACAGGAATTTCAACGCAAAACAACTTTGATTGTTGAATGAGTCTTGGACTGATCACTCCTTCGGACAGATGGACTTTACTTATCCAATAAGGCCTTCATGATCCAAAAATGGCTACTTAGTATGGATCTTCCGCGTCTGTTTTCTAAACCACCGATAGAACTAATAACATCGATGATCTTATATAACTGTCTCCAAGCGGAACTGAGCAGCAGATAATAAGATTTAGCGTCATATTTGACACCATGTTTTAAAGAGATGAAGCCGAAAATGTCTGCCCATCTGAGAGTGATCGGTCCAGGTCTTCTACGAGTTTACACAGTCAGTAGAGTACAGGGTGTCTCATAAGTCTTTCCCACTGTTTGAAATTATATGAAATTATAATTTCAAGTCCTTATTAGACAAATCTTGTATCATTTGATAGCTTCAATGTTTAAAAATTCAAATATCGTAATAAAAAATGTTTTAAAAAAATCAATTTATATGTTGAAATTCTAGCTAAAATACCATGACGCTACAGTACTAAGTGGAATTGGACTTTACAATTCATTGTACTGTAGAGTGCGTTACAGTACTGTACTGTACCGTACAGTACCGTAATACCGTACTGTACCGTAAGAACCTACCGTAATACCGTCCTGTACCGTAATGCCGTCCTGTAGTCTGTAATCAGTGCAGCATAACGCAATCACGCCAGTAATAACGTCATACAATTGGAGTATCGCTGCAGCCCGATTTGGACATGATCGTTGCCTTACTGGTTTAGTACTGTAGAAGCGTACTGGACGTTAACGTATATAAAAACTAGTGGACGTGATGCATCTCAGAGTGGGTAGACTGTATTGAGTGATCCGTGAAGAAATAGTGGCATATCCAAATGGCTGAGCAAGAAAGCTCCGAAGCAGAAAGAATCAATTATCCTGCTCGACATGGCCCTTTTGGCAGCGATAATAAGTACCATGTTGTGTGCGAGAAGTGGAAAAATTATGCCATACGATGTAAGTCCATTTGCTATGTTGATGAATGATAATGACGATTGTACCGATGGATTGCAAAGTTGGTAGTAGGCTAACATGGCCAGCTTTGCTATAACCTCGTGTCGTCAACTTGATGAATGAATTCAACTACGGTAGACCACAGGACTTGCTAGGTCCATTGAAGCAAGATAGAATGGCTCTTGGCCACTGCTTTACACTTATAAAAGACTAAAGTATAGTACAGTTTCTTATGATCTAAAGCTTTACACTTAGAATAGACTAAAGTATAGTACAGTTTCTTATGATCTAAATTACTCTTGAAGCCATCTGTATAGCATAACTTGCATAAGGTGTTGAGAAATGTCCCTTTTGCATCCCACGTAATCATGATGGAATAGGCTAATAGGCTTGCATGCAAGATACGTTGATGGACGAGCTGTCGACATGTCAACATAGAAGAAATCCATGCAATTTTGTAGTGTCTGCCATGATGAATGGGTAGAATAAGATAGATCGAAGCTGGAGTATTTTAAGTGTAGTATGACGTTATCTAGTAGCAAATAGTATTGATGCAATAGGCGACAAAAGTCTTGCAATAGCAATGCGTAGGAACGACTGGAGCTCAGTAGCGATCATCGCGATATCAAAACTAGCGATTAACTTTCGCCATTTCCCTACCTGCCAAGTATAAAAAGCATTGGTGTTATACAAATTCAGTAGATACGCTGTAGCTCGGTAGCAATTAACTTGATACTCGTACATCTCGCTACTTGTCAAGTTGATACAGTAAACGACAAAAGTCTGGCATTAGTAATGCGTAGGAACGATTAGTGCTCAGTAGAGATCATCGTGATATCAAAACTAGTGATTAACTTTCGCCATCTTGCAACCTGCCAAGTATAAAAAGCATTGGTATTATACAAATTCAGTAGATGCGCTGTAGCTCGGTACTTGATACTCGTACATCTCGCTACTTGTCAAGTATGAAAGTCGTTACTGCTATGGAAATCCAGTACATACTAGAGCTCAGTAGCGATCCACTTCAATCAATAGTAACTTACTACAGTACCACATTCGAATAGCGATTTACAATTTATTTTTTGAATTATTTTTTTTTTAGCGCCCTATGTTAAATTCATGCTAGAATCAATGAAGAAGCTTGGATGGTAAGTCGACAAGAACTAAACTACACGCATAGAATACCGTATTAATGGCAATTGCTAAAAATAATTTCCTATTGGAATGATTTACCTGACTGTAAATGATCCTAGCTTACAGTACGGCATGACTACATTGAAGTTATATTTCCGTTAAACCTTAGCTTACATGTCATAGTATGATGCTAAGGACAAGATGAATGTTAAGTTAAAGATAGCATAACTAGAATAGCATTGAAGCAAAATCATCACCAATAGCAGTAATCATTTACAGCCAAGGATCCTCTAGCAGTAATGACAGTAAAGTACATCTAGAAACTGTAGTATCTTCGTAACCTTTGGATCTATTGCTACTATGCAAAAGATACTATTCTCTAATATGTAATAATTTATCACCAACGAGTGATGTTGCATCGTGAGAAATTCAGTTTTATCCTAATAAAGTTTCCACCGGTACACTATTATAGTTAACGCTATAGTAATAGAAATAGGTCACAACTTTGTAATGTTAACTTTATCAATCACTATGTTTATACTTTATGTCTTACTGTCTGTTGTTAGTGAAGTTAATATTGAAAAACAACTAGTGTGTGAGCCTTGTTCAGGCAAAGTTCTTGGCGGATTCGATAGCCGAGCTTCACAGGTAATATCATATCACATAATGATACTACAACTAATTTTATCTTGCTAGTCCCAATTTCGATATATTTAGCTAAATTCTATTTCGATAGCAATGATAAATTCTAGCTTGTTGTAGAAACAGTAGTTTATTTTATCTGTAGTCTATTCTGTAAATGATTCCACTCTATTCTAGAATGAAGAATAGTAACTAGATTGAGCTTCATTTTAAGTTAAGATAGGGCTCTACTCAAATTCATTGAATTTAACGATAATTTTATTGAAGAGCCAGTTAGATACTTGCATTTCCATTTTTCTTTTGCTGGCTAATATTTTAGATAGTCTTATGCGAGAATACTATATATTCGCCGGGATGTATGAAAGACGTACTTACGCATGAGTTAATCCATGCGTATGATCACTGTAGAGCCCATGTCGACTGGCTAAATATTCATCATCTTGCTTGCTCTGAGGTTAGAATCTGTTGCTAAAATTATGCTGTATTGGTATGTATAGTTAATAGTCTGTCTGACCTGTACTATGATCATGACGTTTTGTGTGCCTTCAATTTCATACTGTATCTGGACTAGCACCTACATGTGTAAAGTATAGTTAAAATCTAGAAATGTTGGATTAAAGGCCAAGTAAGCATGAAATGCTTATTTCTATTCTCATGTTTATGTTGTATTTACTGTCTCCCGTAGATTAGAGCCGCAAATCTTAGCGGTGATTGTTTCTTTTGGAAAGAAAATTTAGCTCGTTTTAACTTTGGCTTGAAACAACATCAGCAGGTAATCTATTACACTTTGATCATTCCAGCTTACATAAAAGTAAACTGTGCAAACTATGCATCATAACTGCATGTTGGCTATTAAGCGTGCCTTAGTCAATAATATACCCAATCTTGAATATTTTCTATTTTAGAAATGTGTCAAAGATCGAGCTGTAAAATCTATTTTATGTGTGATGGATGTTGACGAAAATGAAGCTAGAAATGCTGTTGATACAGTATTTGATTCATGCTTTGCTGATCTAGACCCTTTCGATCGAATACCACCATAACATGACAAATCAATTATAGTAATTCTTGTAAATTTATTTGAATGATATTATTGTTGTAGGCTTATTGCTCCCTTTGCAAAGATAGCAACTTTTTTTCTATTTTTAAAAGATTACAAAATAAATAAACTCTTGCAGAAAATGCTATGTCAAAACGCCTTATCGCTCTTGTACAGTAGGTTAATATGACAACTACATCAGCAGCTAAGTTTTCAATAATAATAGTGATCGATTTATGAATAAATTTCAAATTCGTTGTGATAATAATATAGCATAAAGTTCGAATGTATTGTAAAAGTTTATGTTAATACACGTTAGAATCAAAGTCATGCACATCAATAAATGCATCACTATGTATTATATTCAGTCATTTCTTCATCTCTATTAGTACTATAACCTGAGGTCAACGACGGAGAATCTAAGCAAAATTCGTCATCATAATCTTTACTTCGATCTAACGAACAAGACAATGACATACTTTGTTGCAAAAAGGAATGGTAGCTATCTGGAGATGATATATCTCGAGTTCTATTAGCATCACTAAATAGTGATTCTAGCTCTTTCTCGTGTTCTTTGGGGCAAAATGATGTCGTTCCCAAACTATCAAGCGACAAAGAGCTACCGCCAGAACTCGATAAACTAGGTTCTTTCTTATCGAATTCATTTACATAAGATTTTTCAGGTATTATAATAGCATCTTTAACGTCGCTTTCAGGCGATAGTGCTATAGGCATTGGTGGTTCTAATTCTTTAACCATAACCATTGGCTTACGAGACTTGTAAAATGTATGCAACTCCAAATCAGGCTCTTTGGTTCCATATCTTTTACGCATAACAATTATTAGAGTGATAATAATTATGATTAGTAGTAATATACTCGTTGGAACTAAAACAATTGTTAAGATAGATGGTGAAGAATTAGAATTTTGATTGCATGATTGCGATAACTCTCTTACTACTGATATAATAGGATATTCAGGCAACATTGCTACAACAAATTTATTGATTGCCTTGCCATTTGCATCGACAAGCAACGTTGTCAACCTCTCAAATAAAGAAGAGCTGCATAATTTGGGAGGATTGGTTGCATTAGTCCATGTTATAATTGTCGAACCATTAGTAAGCGACAAAGTTGTAATATAACTTGTATTTGAGTCACCAAAATAAGACGCAATTCTCGAAATTAAATCAATTCTTTTACTAACGTTTGCAAATAGCTGTAAAGGCTTATCAATAGCTAATATAAATCTAGAATAATCTTTGATAGTTGCATTTATATACATCTTTCTTACATTAATCGTAATAGGATAGAGGAGTGTAAAACCTTTCGTATTTGTGATAGTGAAATTGTAATAATGACTTCCAACAGAAGCTTGCAACGGTAGGCCATATAGGGCTTGACTATTTGCATTAAATTGTATCCATGAATGAGCAGAGATATTATTACCGTTGCTATGTATCATATGAATATTTAGATTGGGTGTAAAGCCATCAGTAACATCATAAAAAGAATTACTTGGCAATTTAAAATTAAATACTATTCCTTCTATCGCGTTTAATGCTCCTATATTTTGTATTACAATGGGATACATGGCATTAATGGTTGATGTTACATTAGCTAACGGTGAAGTTGGTTTAATATTTAGAGTCGATGTACTCGACTCAGTAACTTCCAGCTGCAGACTCTGACTTAGCGTGCAGGATGGATAGCAAGAACTTTCATAGCTGCTAGTTATTGCAGATTCTAGCTGGAAGGAAATCTCTTTGATTGAATTTATGGAATAGCTTGAAATTGATGTTGTGTAACTGAGGCTATCGCATCTCGATAAACAAGAAGTAAATAGATAATTAGAAGAGCTCATCATTTCGTTAGAAGTACTGAATTCAGGATAAATTGCAGTTTTTTGAGTATCAAGTAATTCCAAAGAGCTATCCGGCGGACTTGATTGTAAATAAGAAATCTCAGAAATTTCAACAGCCGATAGGTAGCTACTACTAGAAGCCAGTCCTAGTGTCGAGAGCGTATTTTGTAAATAAGTTGACGGAGTAATAGAATTGCCGCTGAAACCTGAAAATTGATTTGAAATCGATGTCACTTCGAATAAAGAACTATCCGGGTTCTTGGATACCGTTTTATTCGATAGCATTTGCGTTTTATGAGATGGAGAATAAGAATATATATCTACTGAATATGTAAATATCACCATAGATGTTGTATGGCTGTTAAAATTTATTATTCCTGATTCGTCTATCTCATCAAGCTGGGATGAACTAGTGCTAGTAATAATTAAATCATCAGTGCTCATTGATTCCAAAATGAGATACTCAGAATTAAGCGTGGATGAGGATGGTTCTGTTGATTTTACTAATAGTAATTCAGATGTGATGTACAGAGTATTATAAACATCAATGGAATCCCATGTATTATAAGGATACGAAGTTACTTCTAATTGGTTTGAACCAGAATCTTTATCACTGATCGTAAATTCAGGAATAAATGATTCTGTCGTGGGTGTTGCAGTAACTGTTTGATGCTTAGATTCGATACTTACAGTTTGTTGATCATCAAATAGTGTCGTTACAATTGTATGAACTAGCTCAAATCCGGAACTCGCATCAAAATTTTCAGTAGACCATAAATCCACAAAAGAACTTTCTGCTGGATCTAATAAAATTTTGTATTAAGCACCATCAAAAGATTAGTAACAGGAAACAAAATCATCATCCGTGGCAAAAGCGTATTAAATAATTAATAACGGTTAGCTTGGTTACTGATTTATGGCTTACCTAACGTATTTTCATTAAGAGGACTACTGGCTAACATTTCCATAGAATATGCAATCCCGGAATATTGATTCGAAAACTGTGATGGTACATTGTTTGCTATGCTAGTCTTCAATTCTTCAGTAAATAGGTTCATAGAATTATCTAATTCATTATAACCAGATTGTAGATTTATGTTATTTGATTGAATTTCATCAAATAATGTCGATTCTTGAGAGTCTATTGAGATATTTTTATCATTCGAAAGACCAATGTCCAAGCTCGAATAAGGAATATATTCCTGACTAAAACTAGCTAACGGTTGATTACATGTTTGGCAGGCATTAATTACCCCACTAACAATATTTAAAGTTAGCATGTAAAGCAAGTACATTTTTTCTTTTTCTTTCATGTTATCCAGCAAGAAAATGTCTTCTTTTTATTCTTAATTGCCTTGTATAATAATAAATACCGGTACTGTCAATGCATAGGCTGAAAATTAGCTTTTAGCGTGAATTCTTTTCATCCTTTGAATCTAGCATCGAAGTTGATGTTTTTTGATCTCTTAAGCTTTAACTGTTAATCTTTCACTAGAATAAAATGGACAAGCACGTTAATTATAAATATTGTAAAATTAGTTTGACTGTGTATTTTTTATTTATACTGGTATATACGCAATAGTACAACTGCGTTAATGAAAATATTTCAAGTGATGGCGTGATTTGCCAAAAATACGGTAAATCACATTAAATAATAATGAATGATACAACATAAACGTTAAGGAAGAATTTTAATTATATTTATGTCAACGCTTTACTAAATTAATTTATATGGTAGCTCATTCTAAACTATTATTAAGATATGATAGATAAACATTTCAAATGTTTACTCGTATAATATTAAGCAAATGTTGGTAAACGTTATATAAAGTATAATAGATTCTTAGATTCTTTTAATTTTCTTTACGTCATTTTACCTCATAAATGTGCCAATAGAAGAAAACTCAATTGTTGTCTTTATTATTTGTGGCTGTTGTTAAGAAGCTTTAATCACACAGTCAAATGCTCAAAACTGTCGAACATCGTTAAAGTGCTGTATAGTGCTTGAATTAATGCTAAAATTAATTTCTCCATTTCTCATTTCGATTCTTGTAATGGTGAAGATGATCATAGTTTATCAATTATTATTAAAAATATCGCTAAGCAGTTTTAGCCTTCGATTCGTAGAAGACTATCATAAAGTGCGGAAATACTTTCATAGTCGGCAATATAAACTCATTTGTCCACTTACTGTACGGACTACTATTTCGCTTTCAAATTATCCCATGTAGCGTATATAAAATTTTCTAATCATGTAAAAACAATATCCTTTAAAAATTATTGGTGATTGGTAAAAATGTAATATACTTTGAGACTGTCATAACAATAAACTTCAATTTTTTCCTCGTGACGGTAGATATTGCTATGATGTCATAATATATTGAGTTCTGTGTCTACCTTTCAAAATTTATTCATACTAGGAGTATCTTAGTGATCCAAAATCAATATCCCCGGTTAATCATAAGTCTTCGACATATTGATGTCATTAAGGTGTAAATTTCAATTCATATTCATTTATGTCTGTCTACTCTTCCTAAATCGAAGTACTATATAACATGTACTGAATGTTGACTAATTACTGACAGCTACTGACAGCCCTTGAAGTTGATAAAAAATTCTAAAAGTAGCCTTACAATTAGTTACCCATATATCATCAGTAAATGCTACATTAAAGATTCATCGTAACAGTTTTTAACAGATGAATGTATTCTACTATTATTCTGACTGATCATTTCATCATATTTTAATCTCCATTTGGTAATGAAAAGCCGAAAAATAAGAAGCTAGGTCACGTAACTAAATATTATGAGAATGCCATTTATTTAATTTATTAATTCTAGATTAGACGAAGTTAATTAACGAAATAGATGAAGTGAATTGATTTCTTTGGTCTACTAACAATATACCGAAGAGCATTAGCATCGAATTCTAATGCTTTAAAACATGAATTATTATTGATTCATAATCCCTTAGTTAATAAACAGATAATGTAGTAGTTTAAAATGATAGATATCGAGGATAGCAACTCTCAACATTTGCAAGTCCTACTAATAGCTAAATCTACAGAAGCATTGCAATTCCAGTCTCTCAACTTACTGTACGGTTAATCCTCTCATTAATGGAAAAGCATTTTTAATAGATGAACGGAGTATTTTGATTATTCGCGATGCATTTATGGTTGTCTCCACTCTAGAATTTAGCAGAAATGCGAAAGATAGTTTACACAGGACAGCAATAATTGCACTAATCATCCACTCTTTTACTCCTTGTAAACTATAGTAACTCTATATTGATATATATTATTTCCACAAAAATTTCAAATTCGAGATCAAGGTACATAGGAATTTTATATTAGCTAATTATGCTAACAAGAACAATATAATCAATGGCATCTATATCAGTCATAGTGTAGTCCTATGTTGCTCCAGGCGAAATAAGATGATAATATGAAATGAATATCTATAACTAAACCAAAAATTACTGTAATACAAAACTAGGATACAATATTAAGTTGATGGGAATCAAATTAGAGACTAATCAGTCAGAATGGAACCCTAATAAACATTAAATTAACTTATTTCGACACTATTTCTCTCTAATACTGATTTCAACTGGGTTGTAGTTTTCAACTTTAGGCATACGATTATATTTTAAATGTAGTTGCTCCTCCTTCGATAATGGCCTGGATAATAAACAATGTATGAGCAGGTATACTAAGTTCTCAACTGGATTGCATACAGTACAATATTTGCTGCAAATAGCAGCACGAATGACGATGAGTCTAAATCCTAAACTTTATATTCCACCTCTTTATGTGATCATCAATCGAATGATTTCGATTTAAAAAATCTACATCATCTCATCTGAGTTCAAAAGTTTAATTATCCAGACATAAAAAATTTCGATGATGAGGCGATAAATTTAATCATTAACACTATAAGTACGTTATATGAGTATATTCACCAATCCCGTAAGTTATAAATTTAGTGGTCAATTTGTCACGATTCGTGACCATATTATTCGTTCACGATATACTTAAAAAAGCGTACTATCTCATTATCAAGTCGTACTAACTGGTTTAAGGAAGAGCCTTACAGGTTAGGATAGCGTAATGCGATGAAGAGAACGACTTGCAAAATATAAATTCAATAATGATCATATACGAATATGAATGGTTACTTTTTTGGTTAAGGCCTTTTTCGTCATCTAAATAGAAGCTTTGTTATGTATTTTGGCCATTTTTTTTCAATTTTATATCTGTAGGCGGCAATAACATGTGCTAGCTAACGGTAAGAACACCACTAGAATATCTATTGCAATTTCTTGACGAGTTGTTCAAGTTTGAACTAGCTTAATATCCTTATTACTTACGAACATATCTAAAAGAAATGACGATCGATTAACTTACATATTGTATTTTCCGCTGGGCCAACATGAAATTGGAAGTCGATTATAAAAATGTTCAAGCGATCTAGAACGATAAAATACTAATTGCCAGCGACAGTAGTAGCAATTAAAAAATATTTATTTCATAGCTAGCCAATCATCATCTATCGTTCAGCCAATCATCAAATCATTATCGTTTATGCCTCGAAATGATGCGCAAGTTTGCGAGTTATTATCCAAAAATTAAAAAATTGATGACAGAGAAATTAAAGAAAAAATGAATAAGTCAGAACTATAAAGAAAGACAACTTGAAATTGAATAGATTACCAATTGAGATAGTGTGGTTTATATCTTGTGTAATCGAATGTATAACCAGCCCATTTCTCTTCTAACTCTTGGCCACATTTATAAAAGTAATTAAGACAATAGCAATTGAAGATTTATTGTTGATCAATTCTATTTCATTTTATGTAATTCGATCACGTGAATTATACTTATGGCAGGTGTTCCCTTTTAATGTAAAGAAGAAGACAATAACCATAATAGCGTTACCCGGTTAAGTAGTTGCTATTTTACCAAGCCTTAGAATAGCCTCGATGTCATGCAGATCAACTAAAAAAGAGAAGAATTTTCTATACAATTCTCTATACATAATGTGAACAACATGATGCTGTAATGCAATGATTCAATCTATTCTAAATTGTAACTAAACTATGAAAGACATGTAGAATTTATGATAGAATCAATCTACTCTGTAAGCTCATTAATTATTATTTATACAGGGTTAATATGGGGCTGTATTCAATGTAGTTAAGAATAATTTTTCAGCAAACAATTTGGCTTGTAATAAACTGTAAGATACTTGGAAAATAAAGATTAATTATACAATTTCTATCGAATCAATTGGAATATTCTAACAATTATATCTTTATAGTTTATTTATCGTGAACTACTTTTACCAATACTTTATCGTTGAGCTTATTTTATAGACCAAAGTGGTCAATAATAAGGGAATAAAGATAACATGTCGATTTTGATTATCTTGATCAATTCTAGGCATTATAAAATAATAATAAGGCATGGAAATGAGGCTCATGCAGTAAAAGCTAACCGAACGGTAGATCGATTAGTTAATAGATGAGAAAACTTCTATTTTAAACATTATATTGAACAGTACTAAGAATAATTATGATTTATAAATGTCTTAGCAGCGTTCTTCATTTACTCTTCGAAATATTATCTCATGGAACGAGCAATATTTTAAAATAATGCTGATAATAAAATATGAACTTGCCGTTAAAATTTTCTTTGTCTACCAGAAATTGATATCCAGCACATACAACTTATTAATACTAATTCATTATTAAAGTTAACATAGTTAATATGCAGATCAACCCAGAATTAAGCTACAAAAACTATCTTTCACTAGATGTTCTCGTTATGATGATTCACTGCGTTGGCTTATGTAAAAAGAATTTATAATTGCCTCTTTCAGTACAAATATCAGCAAATCGAACAGTTTTAACCTAACATTCTATAAAGTTTTATAAAAATGATACAAAGTTCGATTTGATTCGACCCTTTACTAAATTAATTTGTTACAATGTGCTAGTAAGATGAAACTATACATACGTATTTTAGTAGGTAGAAACAAAATACAGTAATAAAAATACTTTCATTTTTATTACTTCAATTTAAACATCTATCTATAGGGATATAATAGCAGCATATCCATAATCAAAATACGCTTAACATTGATCAACCAGCTAAAGGTACGAGGATTGTCTGGAAACTCTCTCTTTCTATTAAAATACATTTAGCGTCATGTAAATGATATTGCGTCTCTATGGCTACAATTAATATAGTATAGTATTATCAAAATGGGCACTTAAACTTCACTTCCGTTGAAAATGGGAACTTTAAGTGGATAAAATGTAAACAGCATATGAAATTATTCGTTAAACTAATAGTATACATTACACTTATGTATTCAGATTCAAGTAAAAATAATGCATGTAAAATTTATGGCAACGGCAAAATTGATAGAGAATAATTAAAAGTATTAAAATTCAGGAGAATATTCTTAAATAGAGATGTTAGAACAATTAAAATATCAGGATAACAGCTAAGCTTATATTAACCACTGATATCATGACATATGGATTAAAGGTTGAGTTCGGAAGGAAAATATTAGAATATATAACTTCACTTTAAAATTGACTTGCTTATCTGTGATAGTCAGCTGTCAATCGTCATTACTAATGCAGGCAGAAACTGTAATGGATTGCTTGTAAGATTTACATAATTACAAATTAATAGCTTAAAAATTTTTCTGTACTAGTAGGCATAGCAGCGTTAACTAACAGTTTAGGCTGCAAAGCCATCAATTAGCTAAAGCTATATTTTTGTTAATATTAACTTGCGCTTAGTATCTGAGAAACGGCAGTTAAAATTAAATGACCCTATAAATAGCGCCTTGATTGTGAATAAAATGTATAATTCGCGTAGCTTTCATTCTAAATATAGTTTCAAGTGAAAACTTCTCATGCATTCTGAGTAGCGTATCTATGCTAATTTAGAAGAACCAAACTCAGACTATTTAAAGCCATTAGACATATGTACTTATTCGAATTTCTGAAATTTCATTATCATGGCAACTTACAACTTGTACAGAACGAGATAGTAACTACGAAATCGAAACAATAAAGGCATTCTAGCTCATTTCCTTTTCTACAGTAAATTCATCAACTGCATTCCTACGCATTGAATGATAGATTTTCAGCTATTGAAAAAAGCATTATTTGTTATTGAAGCCAATTTTATTTCATCAATTTCAATTTTGGAATCGATTTCAATCAACTGTGCTACCGCCAAAATTGGAAATAAAAAAAATTGGATAATTTAAGTACAGTAGTTGTACATACAAGATTGACTAGTTATGTTGATCGAAATAGTCAGCACATTCATAATGTTTATGGACTACCAGAAGTTATTTGTACACTTTAAAAATTTTGTATCAAATTAATCTCGGGTTCAGGTGGCTGTGGACAGATCCCAAGGGAAATATTAATTCATACTTTCTCTATCGAATTGGGCTACCATCAAATAGATACAGTATATCTGATACTTGAACGGGTTTAGCTAAGGAAGTTAAGCAGTGAATTTCTTATTAAATAAATGTAAGTGGAATATATTTTGTCTATGCTTCTGGTATAAATCTTCTCCAAGCAATCTCTTCAGCAAATACTAGAAGAAATGGTTAAAATGAAATTGGTTAATATCACTCGCTATTCTCAATTATATCAGTATCAAATTATTCTAAAATGAGTCATTTACATATTGGTTGTGATAGTAAATAAATTTAATGTCCTTTCTATATCTGTATTATGGCAGATATTAAATAACATTTATAGTACATAACGCACGGTCTATAATATATCCTTTATGTTAATTTTTTCAATTCTCGATGCAGTATTATTAATTTGAAGAAAGTTAGTGAACACATAGCAAGTTTATAAGGCTAAATAATATGTTGCTATCATGAATACTCTAACAGTTAATACAATTTCTAAAAGTCGCCATACGTTTTTATTATAAGACGAAATAACGCTAGCAAAGTATGCAAAAAATGTAATTTCTAATAAGATTAAGACTGATATTTAATAATTTAAAAGCTTAAGACACTAAGTTAATGATCTAATAATTAAATTATTAAACTCCATCGTTAAGATATCATGCGGTACTTAGCAGACAGTCTTACAATAATTTCATAAATTTACTTTAAGGTACTTCGCATTTGAAATCTCACACTAAATCTGATTAAGTATAAAATAGCTATTTTAAAAAATCATTGCTTCAAGTTTCATGAATTTGCAGTGGCTACTGTTAACGATTTAATCTCGAAGTCGTCATCATATATCCCTGTCAATATTGGACAACTACTGCAGTAGTATTTTCAAATAGCTTCTCACCTCCTCATCGTCATCAACACCGCTAATGTCAAGTAGACGAAAGCATTCTTGTAGTAAACCATTATCAATCTCAGATAAATCTTTTCTATATACAGAAAAAATGGTTGAATCGATTATTTTCTAAACCAAAAATATCTCTAAACATTGGGCAAAGATTAAGACCTGTATATCAGACTATAGTAACTAATCGAATAAGGTAGAAGACTCTTAAAGGAAAGATTTTCTAAAATACTAAATTTCTTTTTCCATTGAATACTGCATATCTATCACTGTATCATTATTCTCCACTCATGATCTGAATTCTAGTTAATTAATTTAAAAGAAATACAAAATAGTAATTACTTCAAATTGCGTATCCTTTCTTCTAATAGCCCATCTCTTAATGTTTCAATCTTGTCTGCTTCTAAATACCATTGAAAGGAAACATATTTTTACCATATCTTTCGAAGTACAATTTACTACAGTGGTACAGTATTATTATATTACTCCAAAATGTAACTAAAATGAATGGTAAGGATGGTTTATAACAGATATTACTGTATAGCCAATCTTTTACCTTTAGCTTCCGGTTGTTGCGGCTCATTTTCACTATCATCAGAAACCTTAAGAGTGATCTCCATCAATGACATTACGGACGACATTTCCTTTTGATGCCTAAATACAATTGTATAATCCTCATAAAGTGAAAGTTATACAACTTACAGAGAGTATTCCAAAGCAAGTAATGACTAATGCAAATTAAAACATGTTACAAATAATCCATGATAACCTATCATCTTGTTTCTTTGCTTCGGGCTGCAACTCATTATCATTGTCACTATCATCTGACATGTTGTTATCAGAATGGCTTCCTTCACCTTGATTGTCCGAATCCTCATCAGGATCACACGAGTTATCGTCTGCCGAAGCACTTTGTTTAATTTTCGAGGCTTTTACGTTTCCTGTACTGAATTTTTTTGCATCGTAGGACTTTAAACGTTGATACTGAGCAGTTGGTTCGCGCTATCGAAGCAAAATCGTACTGTCATTTAGAATCATTTTATATGCTTACGCTTATTTTTCTATATGCTTTTGCTGTATGGTTGCTTTAATGACTGAATTGCTGAGGCTAAATATAATGCGTTAAAAAAACAGAAAATTACCTGATTTTCAGGAATTGAGAACTGATCGATACTATCAAGAACATCATGATGCAGACCCAGGATTTCTTCTTCCCCAACTGGAGGGATTTTGGGAGAATTGAATACACTAACATCGAATAGATTGCGTTGCTGTTTCATTCTACGCCTCTCACGAGCAGCACTTATGGTTGGACCACCAGAAGACTAAAAGGTAACGCCGGTAAAAATAAGACTACTTCAATATACATGCATGGATTATAACGCTAGCCATAATATTACTTGGCCTAAAAATCATAGTAAAATTGTTTTATAATCTAATTTAGCTACCTTCGGTGTTGGAAATGCTTCCACATCTTCAATTTCCCTCCTATCATCATAATAAATTCTAAAAGTGAATATTTGACTCTCTATAGAGAGCAGTTTTTATCATTATATAAATTAGCACCATTGCTACCTGTATAAGAAGTAAACATACTGAACGAAGACTAACCAAAATTAAATAAAGCTACAATAATTTGTAATTCAAAATAAAGAGCATACTCCTTGGAACTTGATCTAGAATTGACTGGTTCGGATTGTCGTCGTCGATTTAATGGTATTGATTTTGCTGGACTACCTTCATTGCCACTTATTGTAGATTTACTACTTAAGATATCGCTTTGAGCTGATACTGGTGGATCTGGTAGTGGTCGACCTCGTCGTGAAGATTTAGCCTGAAAGTAGGCGTTATTATCGGAAATTTACAAACAATTTTTACTAACTCACTTATTCAAAATGGTCAATGTAGTAGTATATAATATATTGCTAACCTCTGTTCCTTGTGCAATAGCAGGATCACTGGGTTTTCTTGATACTTTCCCTGATTCTTCATTGTCTTCACCTTTAACAAAAGTTGCATTATCGACGCTACTTTCTTTGGGAGATTGGACTATATATTTATTTTTAACTTTGGTAACATTCTCATCTGTAGATACTGAGGATAGACTTGATTCTATAATTGAAAAATATTTAAAGTCAACTTTCGATACCTAATAGATTCTGCTATGCATTAGTTGTTTAATGGAGTCTTTCAAAGTAAGTTAATTAATCATCAGATATCGATAGCCTTTATGATTGTGTTTATCCGTTTTGTGATTTTCGAAATTTTTACCAGAATTATTTCTTTGAATTGTCTGTTCACTTTTATTACTTTTTTCCTTGTTGGCCTGTTTCGAGCTAGTATTTAATAATTCTTTTTTACAATGGTGATGTAATTATTGATGCAAAATTTAATCTATACAAGTAAGACTGACATTTCTTATGTTCGCTTCGTTACCTATGATCGGTTGACTGAAGAAATTGGCTTATATGCCTTTTCATGTATGGCAAACGAAGTAATTGAGGAACACTTGGTCTATTCTTGGGATCTAGAGCTAAAGTTGACTTTACAATATCACCTAATTGGGTACTGTATTGCTTTGGCATTTGCGGAACCTAAAATTAGTAATGAAAGTATTTATACAACATATTGAATGCATCTATTTAAAGGATAATGTCAAGACCATCGATTTTAGTTTATTAGCTACGATACCTTTCCATTTAAAATTTTGTATACTAAGGAATTCAAGTCTTTCGCACTAAATGCATGTTTTAACGTTAACATCTCATAAACACAACAACCGAGTGCCCATACATCGGACTATTAAAAGAAAACGAATAATTGGAATAAGTAAAGCGATGAAGATCAATTGCTCCCTTAGTAAAGCATACAAGGAAGAAAGAATGTCAAATTACTCACTTTATGATTGTATGGTTGATTTGAAAATAGTTCTGGTGACATGTAATAAGGTGTACCAACACGAGTTGTTGCCAGATCCCAACTTCCTTCCAAGACGCGAGCTATACCGAGATCTCCAACTTTGATAATGTCATGCTTTGTTAAGAAAATATTTTGTGTCTTTAAATCGCGATGTAAGATGTTATTGCTGTGCATAAATTGAAGGGCTAATGCTATCTGCATAAACCAAACCATAACTTGACTTTCATCTATTGGTAAGCCATTTCTATTCTTTAAGTAGTTGTATACATCTCCACCTTCACAAAATCCCATTATAATGTATAAGTAACCCGTTCTATCCTGAAAGGAATCTTTGTAAGAGACGATGTTGGGATGGATAAGTTTCTTCAGTAGTAGAGCCTAACATAGTCAATGCATGATAAGACGTAAATTAAGCATGTTATGCATATACAATCGTCGATTGACTTTGTTCTTAGAATAGTAGAATATGGAAAATAGTAAAACCTCTTGTTGCGCTGCTTTTCTTTCTCTGGTAGAGGCATTTTTTAGTTGTATTTTCTTCATGACATACTAATTGTTACAGCAACGGATAATATGGAAGAAGCCATTGGAAAAAGCAAAAAAGGTAACTTAATCAATCTCTTATTCATTTCGACAGCACTACATAGTCATAGTTGAAAAGTTGAACTATTTATTTATTTTCACGATACAATAATAACGAAAGCTAACGCCTACTGCACATGATGAATTCATTTCACTATCAGTGTATCAGTGAATGACATTGCTGACCATCAATTGCCCAATTTGGTACAATTGTTTGATAATTTAAAATTTATCAAATTTACCTTTTTATTTCCACGCTTATGCCTGACAAGGAATACTTCTCCATATGAACCTTTTCCAATTTGTTTCAAAACATTAAATGAATCTAACGGCATATTGGCAAATTCTCTGGCTGTTACTAATTACAAGCATGAATTGAATACACGTCGAGTTGATTTAGGTTAATCTCATCCTCAGATATAAAATTACAGTTTGAAAAGTACACTATAACTGAGTTTAATCATCAATGATGGCGAGCATCATGAACTAGTTATAGAATATGAAAGGCGCATCCAAGTGTAATTGAAATTAAATAAGTTTCCAAAAATGTTGTCTTAGTTGTTCAAGTCAAGAACAATTAGGCTACAGTGCCGAGTGAGTTCCTTGCTTGTAACATTGAAAAAAAGTGTAGTATAGTATTTGAAACAGAATCGATATGTCACTATAGATGCTGTCTAGCGTAGTGGAAATACTGTATAGCAATCAATAATTATCATGCTAATTATATCATGGAAAACGTTTATTTTATTCTATTCTGATGTGTATAATAGAGGACCCATCAAGTATCACTAGTGTATCCTATTAAGGCTTCTGTTGTTTTGAAGCAGTACGTCTGTTGCATTTGATACCTCTTCTCTACAGTACAATATACAGTAAAATGCACTCATCATTATGGAGAGTTGTACATAATCAATTCATTATCTTCATAGTCTATAACGTTTTTAGGATCAACAATAGCATAATATACTAGTATTTTAGATTGAAAAATAAGCATGTAGAATAGCAGTAATGCATCAGCAATCGACGTGAATGGATGGAGCTCTTCCGTGATTACTACAGTTACTATAGGCATTTTGGGTCTATTGTACAGAGGATCAATTCGAGTGAGAGAGTCGCTACAATAAAGAAGTCTGTATAATATGTAAAAGATATAGTTTAAATCAACGTCTACTGTGCAATAGTTTGAAAGGCTAGTAGAATACTCTCGGTAGTCATTTTGAAATCATTGTATGCGTCTTGAAATTCGATCGCGTTGGGAGGCGTTTCCTTGGTAACAAGCCTTCTTATTCGATGATGCTGCGTATGAAATCAGTACTGCTATGTCTGCTACTGTATGTCCTATCTTGATTGCCTCAAAGTAAGGAACAAAAAGTGAGTGAAAAGAATGGAGTTTTATTCGACGAGAAACGTGGCTAAGAAGAGAGAAAGAGAACTAGAGCTACGAGAGAGACAAGAGTACGCCATTGAAGAACAGTAGAAGATTGCAAGACACCTAGGACAGATAGACAGACAAGTGTTTATGATACAAGTGTACGGTACAGGTACGCGTACAGCACTTTTTTCATCAAGTTTGATACAGAAGGTCATCCTGTAGCCTGTTACCACGACACAGAATCTTCGAGCTCATCCATGAGAGTACTCTACTGTACGTACTCACAGTGTAAAGTACTGTACGATGGACCGTACTGTACACTGTACATTTCATTTAAGTGTACAGTACTGTACGTACAGTACAGTACAGTACAATACTGTGGACCGTTACGCAGAATCCTCGAGCTCTCCATATCCGGACGGATATCGTGACCTTCGTTTCATTTGCACACTACTCTCCAGAGGACAGTATTGCGCAGTACGGTCAATCGTACAGTACTTTACCGTGTACATGTACTGTACACTGTACACTGTACACTCATGGATGAGCTCGAAGATTCTGCGTCATCAAGGTCACGTTGTCCGTCCGGATTTTTCCATGCACTACTACACTATAGTGAATTCAGCGGTCAATTTTACTAGCCCATGTGCCGGTGTCCCTTAAAAATAAATTAATTTAATGGCATTGCTGTTAATAGCTAGCACTAGCAATGCTTTGATTGATTTTAATAATAATAATCTAGTCCATGTACCCGGGTCCCGTAGTTTATTCCCCCCCTTACTTGAAATACTTGGCGTCAATAGCATTGCTGTTAGAAGAGCGATAGCTAGCACTAGCAATGCATTGATTAATAATAATAAAAATACTGGGAGGTAGAAATGGAAAAGCGTAGCGATTTCGACTAAAATAAGCTTAGCAATAAAGTAGAGTGTACACTACAACGTTGTCCCTGCCCGTAAACGCTGCTAGAAGGACTTGATGGGAAAATTGAGCGTGGACGTCGCCATCAGTCAATGATCATCGCTTACCGATTGGTCATTGGTCACATGTTTCCTGCGATGTTGATGATCGCAAATTAAATTGTGTTCGTCGAATGGACATATGGGCAGAGGGATTCATCGAATGAACGATTCCCCTATTCCGACTACTGTATTGACAATCATTGGAAGCGTCTCTTCCAACTCTGCAGTGTAGTATCCAAGTCTCGGCAAGTTGTTTTGGATAGGGGAGATCGACAGCACTCATGATGGTAGAAAGAGGAATTTCTCCATGATAAGACAAGGATCGAGAAGTCCTCGGTCCACAAATTGCCATCACCTTGATTAAATTGCAAATTTCTCGACTATTCTCTACAATAGGCACTATATCTCTCTCCATGACTAATAAGACAGAGTGTAGACTATAGTGGACCAACGAATGCAATGCACCCTGCAAGGAGTACTCCATTTAATTCGATCCAATTAGCTGCTCGTAATCGATGAATCATAAAAGCAAATTCTTTCTCTATTGACATCTTGACAGGACAATGATTACGATGATGAATGCATTATCGTATTATGGATATTATTCTATTCAAACAAGCCAAGTTCTTTCGCATGTTTGTTGGGATATACTTTCGGCTGTTGAAGATGCCAACCTAGGCTTGATACTGTAGAAGGGTATGCCAATGGCGATGCTACTCAGCCGAGTCTGCAAGGTGCTTAAGAAGCTCTTATTACCGATAGAGTAGGAGTGCCTATCGATTCGAACTCATCTTATTAGGTATGCATTGATTCACGCCTTGAAAGAAGGATTACAGTAGTAGGGTGGCCACTGTCTAGAGGATTGGAATGCAAACTCGATATTGCATAAGAAGCACTAATTGACTTAGAGTCAACATCAGGTACAATACGCTCAATACTGTGGTAGTATTAGCAAGTATCGTCTTCGGAGTGTACACAAACTTTTTTCCGGCCTTGTTGAAAACTGGCTTGTCATCGCTTGGCCTTAGGCATTACGACATAACGAGAACAAGAGCCAAGGTGAAAGTTCAACCCATGCTAAAATCCAACTAATAGCATGTAATATCAACAAATTAGATTAGCATTATTGAACCACCATTGAAATTATCCACCGATAGACCTAGGATTGACTTCAATTAAATACGAAGTTAACTCTTTAACCGTCATCAGATCGTTCCAGGCAGAAACATCGAAAATGGCTTGCCAGAATAATGAAATCGTCGTGGTCGGTGGAGGTTTGGTAAGTACAAAACGATGATGATGAAGAGGAGGAGGAGGAGGATGCACATTAAACTTGTATAATGAATATACTTAGCGGAAAGGATGGCAGTAAAAATTGCAATCGTATAACCTTGAAAAGAAGATCAAGCCAGCATGACTCTACCACCGATAGATTGACATCTTGAGTAATATTCTGCAGCAATAGTGATATGATGCCTAGACGAACGATGATGAGCAAATAAAATCTTCCTCTACAACGCCATTGGCAACAAGTCATACTAGAGATTGTATTTACAGGATCATCATCATAACATCCATTCTTGGCCTCTTTCTTTTCGTTAGTCAGCAGTATTTCAAATCTTGTAGTAATAATCAAGGATAATAATAGGATGGATGAACTGATTTGGATTCAATCCAAGTTACGTTATCGGTGACTATCCAAATAAATAAATAAGAGCTACTTCCCCCCCCCCCCTTCTTTCCGAAATTTCCTTTCGAATGTAGACTTCGACGTGTTATAAACCTAACAAAATTTTCTTGACAGTGAATGTAATGATGGACTAACAAAACCGTTTAATGACGATTTTTTGCCAACCGATTGTACTACAGGTCGGATGTTTAGCAGCAATATTTTGGGCGAAGCGAGGCTATCAAGTCGATCTCTACGAAATGCGTGAAGGTAAGTTAATACCCATTTGCAATCAAGCAATCGTTGAGATAATCGTACCTAGGCAATGATTTTTCTTGAATTGAAGAACATTCGTTGACTGTAGTTTAGCCATTCTCTCTTAATTTATGACTATTACGGAATAATGGACGTGCCTTGTAAATGAGTTAGTATACTTGTAGTATTACAGCGAGTGCCACCCAGTTAGCAATGCTGTTGTTGTAAACCATATCCGTATCGGCACTATTTCGTTATCCATCTTGGATCATCAGCGACCACGATTTAAAATAATCCTACAACTCTTACTGATAATCAATTTACTATCCGTTGACTTAGATTTCCGCTTATTAGAAAATACAAGGGGTAAAAGCATTAATCTTGCTTTATCTTCGCGCGGTATTCTCTCTTTGAAGCATGCTGGCCTGGATGACGAAGTAAGCTATCAAAATGGAGTTTACAATACATTCAAAAAAAGGAATAACAGTTCTTTCAGCCATTGCCTTTGAAAGATAACGGGATTACGTAACTTTTTAATAGGTTACCAACTATGGAATTCCAATGTACGGAAGGATGATTCATTCCGTTAATGGTGAATGTTCATCGCAAGCTTATAGTCCCAACGGAGAAGTGAGTACCACAATTGCTCTTACTGTTCAATGAATGATACAGTTTTCATCGAGTGATAATGCACATTTGTTGTGGCCTCGTTACAATGAATAACAAATAAAATTACCTACCTACAGGCAGCGTATAATCGCTTAGGGTAAATTAATAATAATAAAACTACTGATTATTGCATGCATTCCCCTTGTCAAGCTCGATTCGGTAATTCAATCAGTTGTTGTTGTTGCAATTTTTATTTCCACGATTTCCTTTCGCAATCGTAATGACTCAATTAACTCTAGCTCTACTGTACTGGTAGCGAAAGCAGATTGACATTAAATTCCATATTTGGATCCAATCGATCATTCTAAACGAAACCACTCAAGTCTTTTTTTATTGCTCACACAGGGGTTGCTATCCATTGATCGTATTACTGTGAACAAGGTCCTAATTACAGGTTAGTTGCATGCATCATTAACGTGAATTTATGACTGTAATGAATATATTTTTGTCATGATGTGTTTGTGTTGGTAACTATGCTATATTACTAATTGGGCCTATCATCCCTTTCAGTCCTTTTAACTTGTGAATCAGTTCGACAATACTTACGTACAGTCTACTCACTGCAGTTTCCTAACTTACTCAGTTGCAAAAATCTTTTCCTTCTACTCAATGTACAGCATTGTCAAGTGTAATATTTTGACATCATTGAAAGATTCTTTTTCTTATTTTAATTTTAGCTGCGGAAAAATATAAAAACATCCACTTTCATTTCCGTCATAAACTGAAATCAGCTGTGCTTTCTAGACGTGAACTGAAATTCGATAGGTAAATTGATGCTCCGTAGAATTACTGTTCATGATTTGGTGAAATAGACATATTTTATCCCCTATAGTGTCAAGCATGGTGAAATAATGATAAATGCAAAGACAATCCTGGGTTGCGATGGTGCTTACTCTAGAGTTAGGCAGAGTATGATGAGAGAAGCTAGGTAAGATGGATTATTTTAACGACAGTTACAAGCGCCTTATGACTGACGTAAAAATTGGATAAACCGTTGTTAGGCTAAACTATTTGCAATCTTACATTGGCCATGTTTATGTCGAGCTCATCATTCCTCCTCGAAAGGATGGAGAGGTAAAATATCCATCTGCATAGGATGGAATCAATTGCATAAAATGAACGTTTTGAATAGCAGCTCTTTTTTTTAGTCATTATCCCTATTTTTTTCTTCTTGGTTAATATTAACATTTATTCAAATTAAACTCGGTTACTCGCAGTTTGCTATTGAGCCAAACTATTTACATATCTGGCCAAGAGAAACCCTTATGTTGATTGCATTACCCAATTTGGTAAATAGAATTTGATTCTTCATCAAACTTGAATCAACGATAAAATTTTCTGATATTGATCATGACAATCGATAGGATAAATCGTTCACTTGTACGCTGTTCATTCCGCTAGCCATGAAAGAAGAATTGATAACGGAGGTACTGTGATGAGTTAATGAATTAGTGCAGCATATTGAAATTGCATAGTATCAGCTACTGTACGATATCCTGTATAAAGAAGTTTATGTTCATATCATTTATCTGTTATCACAAAATAATTGTAAATTGTTATCGATTACAGAAGCATGTCCTTGACCTATTTGCCACATACTTTCCCGATGTGATAGATTTGATAGGAAGGTAAATTCCATTTTGTTTCAAGCATACATTCTTACTTGTTTCTAATAGCCGATCATTTCATTTTTCAGTCACAGCATTTGCCATGATGTCTTAAATAATCCTGCCGATGAACTAGTTTATATTAAGGTATTATAGCTAGGTTCTAACAACATAGGCGTTGAAGACTTTGCTTATTTTATAAATGCTAATTCTTTGATGCCAATGTTATCAATTTCCCAGTGCGACCCGCACCATTACGCCGACCATACCATATTATTGGGCGATGCTGCACATGCATTTGTACCGTTTTATGGACAAGGCTTAAATTGTGTATGTATCTATGCGTTTATCATAATATTCATATTCTAACGGTCTCATGCCAAAAATAGTATGGTAAACATCAGGATTTAACTATATTGAAGACTTTTGGCAAATTCTATGCTTATCAATAAAGGGTTTTGAAGATTGCCTAGTTTTAGATAGGATTCTTGTTGCAAATGGATTCGATCTAGGTGGGTACTACAATTGCTTTTAATATATATCTAATGTCGCTAAGTGATACTGTACTGATGAAGCCATTCTTATTATCAGAAAAATCATTTCAACAATACAGCGAAACTAGAATACGAGATACTGACAGCATTTGCGATCTGTCACTGTACAACTATCATGAGGTATTTCAACCAAATTGTGTAACATGGCAGTCTTTTCTATCGCACGTTTTTTCAATTGCTGAAAAAATAATTACAGTGCTATTAAATAACTTTCACTAATCGTCTAATGTGCAAACAAAAAAATTATTTTCCTTCATGATATTGATCACCATCTTCAATAATCACTTCGATGGCGAAAGCAGCTTTCTAACTTATATCTATGCAACAATTTTTTTTTGTTATAGATGAGATCTCACGTCAATAGTAAAGTTTACTTACTACGTCGGGCTATTGACAATGTGATATTTCGTCTGTTGCCAAATACTTACATTCCATTGTATACTATGGTATGTTGATCGATCATATTAAGCTATTGCTCGCAACTCGTTTTGAAATAATTGAAGCGTATTAATCATTCAATGATACGATTTTAGGTTACCTTCAGCGATATCCCGTACCACGCGGTTGTTCATAGGCATCATTTGCAAACAAAAGTATGCCATTCTATCTGTATTTATGTCTAATCCTACAATTTACTGACTACAAATGCATTAATTATTTTACCACTAAATTTATAGATTCTGTACGGAACACTCCTGGCCTTAATAATTGCGATTGGAATTGCACTAGCTATTTACTGTTACGGAATCTAATGGTGACGGCTTATTTTCATCGTCGTCTGTAGTTCTTATCAATCCGCCGTAAGAACTAGTGATTTAGTAATGAATAGCTTCCATAATTTAACAAAACACTCACTGGTATACTATTGTTGTCAGTTGTACGATAGATAAAATGAAAAGGATATCTATTTGCTACAAATTGTCTGATATCTATTTAAAAAATTAAGAAATCCTTTGGATATTATAAAACATGTGTCTTTATAACTGTCAGATTATGACTAGCAGCTTCCGAAATGCCAGAAATTGCAATTTTTACGTATAACTTTCGGAGCACGTTGTCAATTTTTTATAGTTAATTCATTTTCCGACACGAGTTTTTAAATCTCAAAAATGTTATAGGTAACATTTCCTTGGATTTATTATAAAATTGAAAGACAGACAGCACATAAAGAAACTTTAAATTTGTCCAATAAATTCATCTAGTTTTCGTCATAAGTGCTGTGCACATATCTGATTTTCTTTTCGAATATTAGCACTCTTCTATCATAATGATAGTTGAAATTAATGGACTGATGACTATTTTCATAGATCTTTGTCCTTATTATCTTTATTGCTCGGTAATTTAAAAACTGTGATGAAAATGACACTTTTTAAGGCTGTATTCAGATATAAGATGCTTTGATTAAACTTTTATTTTGCTGAATCTGTATTGATGATTAGAAAGAACATTACGCGAAATAAAAGATCCCACGAACGTGTAGCTTTAAGCCAGGACTAGTCAATCATTGTCATTTATAATTTTTAACAAATCTTTATAACAATGCTCGTACCAATGATAAAAAATAGATTTACGGTGGTAATCAATTATGTTTAGGGTATATTAATAACCTTGCTAGCTCGTAGTTTTCATTGCAGCTACTAAGGAGTAATTGATTATATCCATGTATTGCATTGAAAATGTTATGCCTAATATGATCCAATAAATTTATAGCAATTAGGTTGTATATCCTAATATGCCATAATTACATAATCACAGGCCGGGCAATTAGCGTTACGCGTTGGCTTCCCCATCGTGCATATGCCGTAATGATTTTTTAAGGAATTATGGTCGTACCGAGATTGGCTATATCCATTTTTAGTTGCTTCCCAAGGTTTTGTAAACAACGCAGTTCATTTTCCTTTAAAGTATTGCAAAATTTTAAGAATGAATCTATTCCTTTTCGCTATAAGATGATGATAAGTTCATGATTACGTTTCTTATGATGATTAATTAAATTAAATTTAATAAGTCGACATCGTCATCATTTAAGAATTAATTCCTCTAAAGTCGTAGATTAACGATTTTAACGGCAAATCATTTATTATTGTCTTATAATTTCTTTCCATCACCGCGTTTATAAATTCCATTCCATTTGAACTAGGTTGGAATTTGTTTTGCGTCCCTATATAGTTTTAAATACAGTACAACCGATTATTTTTCAGTTACGACTAAAATGTTAGTAAGTTACCCTTTTCATAAGATTGGTTAGACTAATAATCACGATATTGGTAGATATTCATTGCTCACACTATCGGAGAAAATGTACATCGTTACCAATACATATGGTATAATATGTTGTAGCATTAAACTTTTATTAATTAGCTATACTCATATTTTACATTAATGAGGTCGAGTGTTTATACATAGTAAAATCAGTCTGATAAATAGTGATGCTCTACAGAAAGCAACTAGTTGCCATTTTTATAGTATATGTTTATCGACAAGCATCTTACGATAATTAAATATACTATAGCATTATCCTATCCGTACCTGTTAGTTTTTTTTCTTTTATAAAGCATCCAATCAATAATCGACTGACTTTTGAAAAATTTATTGCAATTATCTTAACAGCAACGAAATATATTCCGATCTTCATGATATCGATAATTAAGATTTGTCATTTGATGGCATTCGCTACATCGAACATAGAGAACTGGCACGGTAAATTTGCATACTTAGGCATTCTCTCATTCATAATTTTATAAAATTTCTCTTTGATAGTATTATATGGACGCTTTTGATGAATTGATATCTCGACTTTCTGACTGATCAATTTCAAAATTTCGACATCGTTTATCTCCTGATAGCAGTACTGTAGGCTAATATAAGATTTTTCTTTCCTAACGATGGCATAATAATAATCGTCCAATGGGAAAAATTTAGCACATTGGTAATATAACTTTACACGGCGATTATTCCACATTTTTAGACACGCTGATAGCAGGCAATAAAATATTCCATTCGGTATATAAGGAACGAAGCATTTATTATAGCCAATATATAAACAATCGGATACGCTATAACCACTTAAATCGAGTTCATCAGCATATGAATTAAGTAAATAAGGTATAAAATATAGACGATTTAGAGCTGTTGCCTCATCATCTTCATGTTCGTCATCAATCTTACTGATAATATTGTAACTTTCCATCAATTGTAGTACAAATTCTTTTTCTATCTGATTTAATTTAAATTCTGTGATAGCATAATCAAGACAAGTTTCAGACATAATACCTGTCCGACGAGCTAAATTATAACTTTCTCTCGCTTCTGCAATTTTAAACTGATGCCGATCTAATTTAATGATACTACGAAATATTTGCAGCAATCAGTCTATATTGGTTACAATCATTCTATTGATGCCTTCTTTCTGACAAAATACGATATCACCAGTGTCATGCAGATACGTAAGAATACTGCGTAACTTTATCATTTTCCAAAAATCCGAAATCCTTAGCTAATTTTTTAATATCTTCATATCGCATAATGTTGCAATTTTTTTTTTAATATATCTTTAAATTCATCAGAAATATTCTATCTGTTGATATTATTAACGGATGTGTATAGCAAGGATGCCATAATATACCAAGGTGTAGGAATAGACCGTTGCATAAATGGTAAATTACTGGTAAACTGTTTAATAATTTTATGCAATTTCTTACAACATTGACGTCACTGTAGTAAAGACTTACGACTTGTATCATTAGGGTTGGAATTAAAAATAATACCTGAACAGCAGATATTCTTCTTATATGTAGCAACATATGTACCAACATGTAAACTTCGACCCCCCAAATGCTTTCTGTTGAATAGAAAGGGCCTTTGATACGTAGTAATTGCTTCATCATATATAAATTGATTTTCATAAGCAATACTCATGTTATTATAAGTTCGAGCAACATCTAAGTTGTTATTGCCTAGAATTTGCAGTTTAATATCAAGAGATTTCTTGTATATGGATAGTGCATCATTATTCTTGCCTTGAAGATTGTATATATAGCTCCGATATTATTATAAGATAAAGTCACTTTTAGATCATCATCGCCTAGTATTTCCAAATCTATGTTTAGACATTTTTGATACATGGATGGAGCTTGATGATAATTCGATAGATTTTGATAAACACTACCAATGTTGTTGTAAGATATTGTAACGTGTAAATTGCAATCCCCTAACAATTTTAGCTCAATAGGGAGACACTTTTGATACATGGATAGAGCAGCATCGAGCTTAAGATCTCTGTAACACTGCCAATGCTATTGTCGGATCGAGCAACATTCAAATTATTATCACCAGATATATTAATTTTAATATCTAAGCTTTTCTGATATAAAATTAAAGCATCATCTAATTTCGATTGGCGAAAATAAGCTTCTCCCATACTATGATAAGCTTCAGCTACATCGACATGGTTCTCTCCTGGCAATTTTAATTTCAAAGCTAATGATTGCTTATAATCATCTAATGCATCATCATAAGCCTATTTCATTGCTTGTATGTCCCATTGATGATGGAAATATCGAGCAAGTCGAACTTGATCCATGATCTTTCTTGCTAGCGTTCCTGATCGATCACAGTTTTGTTGAGCAGATGCTAATTCATGTTGTTTCTAATAGATCATAGAAATATTTAGATAAGTATCACATTGTAGTTAATCTCCAGCAATATCATTGCTTGTCAACCGATGAGTTTTATCTGACGCTTGGAGATAGCTACTTCTAGGTTGCAGATAATCTCTATTATTAAATAGATGATGTCTATTTTCACGCAGAGAATTGATTTCCTGAATACGCATGTGATCCATTGGCTTCTTTCTAAGATAACTCTCAACAATTGGGAAAATAAACTCACTCCTTAGGACTAATCTCATCCCAACAAGGACAGCCTTATGCCATGCTAAGGAAAATTGAAAAATTCGGCAATAAATCAAAGGCACATCTGCACTAGATCAAAGTACTAGATAATGACTGGCGACAGTTATCATAATCACGACTGTATATCGAATAAAAAGCAACATTCAAGCCGTTAGCGCTATAGTTTATGAAACGTTGTTAGAAACAGAACTGGACTAAAAAATAATAAGACAGCCTCTATATACTGCAAGCTACCATTCAAAACTTGATTGCTTATATTACTATTAGATGAATCGAAACAATCTTGATCCTATAATTTATGACGTAAATTTCCATCAAAGCAATTTATTTAATTGAAATCTGTTGGTAGTAAACTTGCGCATGCTTGACTCATGACTTATTCTACTTTTGACCTTTGCCATTGGGTGGTGATAATTAGAATAATAATTAGAAGTAGTTGCGAGATCTTCTTGGATTACTACGATTGAGATTGAAATTTACAGAGAAATAGCTTTCCGTAAGGGAGTAGTTGTACTTTTCCACAAAGAAGCAGCATTTCCAGGTAAGATTTGCATTCTCATTTATGTATAGTATGCTGGTCTGTATATTACAGCATTGATATATTTTTACTAATGTAGTTGCATTAATTAAGAGCATAATAAACGTAGAGATGCTTAGATTATATGCGAAATGGTTTAAGTCGACTCTGCTAGTAGCCAAAATTGTGCATGCTTGATTAGTAGCATTTTCTGTCTTTTACTTTGTGATTTGAAGTAATTATTGGAATAATTAGAAAGAGTCGTGAGATATTATTACATTGCTAAGATTAAGGTTAAAATTTTTAGGGCAGCAACTTTCCATAGGAGAATATCTGTACTTTGCTACTAAGAAACAGTGTTTCAGGGTAGGGTTTGCATTCTCATGAATGCCTGCTGATCTACATATTTCAGCATTACTATATTTTTGTTATGTGTTTGCATTATTCGTCTACATGATTAGTGTAGAGAAGTTTAAGATTATACAAAGAATAATTTAAATTGATTTAGCTAGTAGCTTAATACAATTTTAGATAGTAGCAGAGTAGATTTAAATTAAAATATGACGATCTCTTTAGATGACAATATTGCATCTTTTTCAGTACTCGATATCAGTATGTAGATAATTCATAGCTTGGACGCTGAAAAATTAAAAGCGAATTCCAGAAAGAGAAAGAGCATTACTAAGTATTTGCATTATATTAAGAAATTAACTTAGGCACTGCCACTATATTTCATACAAATTTGATATACATTGTGATAATGAGTAGTCTCATCTGATAACGATTGCCTGAACGAATCACTTTTAAACGATTTTAAATCTTTGCTATTTTAATTCGAGGTTATGTATGTTTTAAACTCTTTTCTGATCCTTAAATTTTATTAACAAATAGTAGAATTGCAATAATCGTGGCATTCGTGAAACTGATTTAAGAATAACATTAATATTAATGTCAAACATGGAATCGATACAAGATGGTATCAACGGCATCTTACGACCGATAATCCAAGCAGATATGGAAACTATATGCCAAATAGAATTAGAATGCTTTCCTATAGAGGAGGCTGCTACCCCAGCACAACTTATGGATCGATTTAATGTGGCAAGTGATTTATTTCTAGGATACGAAATCAATGGCAAAATCGTTGCTTTCATTTGTGGTACGCGAAGCAACGATAATTTATTAACTTTTCAGTCCATGTATGAGCATGCAGCAAATGGTAAAACATTATGCATTCATGCTTTATGTGTTACGAGCAATTTCCGACGACAGGGTATCGCCTCTATATTGCTCAAACATTATATAGAATACATTAAGCAAGCTATTCCATCGATATCGGTGATCAATCTGATTGCTCACGATTATTTAATACCATTTTATGAGAAAGCAGGATTTCAATGCCTTGGTTTATCCTCCGTAGTCCAAGGCAAATTTTCATGGTACAATTGCCAGATGATCTTATAATATTGCTGTTACATCTTCCCAAATTATCTTTGCCTTTCCTAGATTGATAAATGTATACTTTATACAGTTACTAATTTAAAACATCAAAAGTCAAAAAGTTCTTGATATAGAAAACATTGAATACGGTTAGAATCGAAATTATTGTAAGCCTATAGAATGACTAACTGTACTCTTTATTAAGTTTATTTCTAGTTGTTTCAGAATAACCTTTGAGGCTAGCGGTTGTAGCATAATTATCATGAGATAACTTTACCTAGGAATATATTGATGATTCATTAATGTATCTATGACATCTTACATCATTTTAATAGATAAAAGCGTAATTTTATAATATTATCTATGAGCTGATATTCTATGTTTATCTAGATTCACTATAAATTGACTAATTTTTTTTAATCAATTTGGTTTCAGTTTTGTCTAACAGTGACTATTGGTTTACTATAACCTAAAGATGAGAGAATATCAGTATTTAAAGTCGTACTGTAGATAGAAGTAGAAGAGGACAAGCCTGATAAAAGGTTGATAATATTAAGCTACAAGAAGTGATTTAATTTTCCTCGTTATAAGCTTAGTATAACTTGCCTGGCAATACCTGTGGTTCCACTAAGCTAATAATTGGATTGATTCTGTATAGATTAACAACTCAATAAATTATACCTAAATTTTGACAACTCGTCGGTGACAGTGACCGATCTTGGGTCTTACTGCAAGGGTCTATTAGTAACGGAGTGATAAAATTTCGTCAATTTACTAAACCAACAATCTATTGGAAGTGGTAGTAGCATTAGATTTAGCTACATAACAAGAGCTCCTATTTAGAAATACTTTTAATTTAAAGGAATCGGTCATTATCTCATGCTACTGTGTGTTCGATAAGTTTAGGGAAGAAGCTCATGTTTATTAGTTCGCATTTATCACATAGACAAACGACCTAATTATCCACGTCTGGATTATAGCATTTGCAGAGTTTAGATTACCGTTAGCATCGACATTCCCGATTGATCAATTTACATTGAGGTAATCCCAATTTTTCATATATTTTATAAGCAGTTTGTAATCAATTTTCGTAGTCTGTATTTAACCCACAGATATTGTCCATAGTTATCCTTGTTTAAATTACTGCATTCACTGACTTAGGCTCTTACTAGCATTGACATTCTTATAGCAGTCTATAAGTATCAATGAGTTAAAGGATAATTTTGTGCTCGATTGATGTACGTATTAACAGTAAATCTCTAGAATTTGTTCTTATCTTGCAGACACAACCTAACTGTCGTTATTTATCCAGCCGATTTAGAGAATTTAGATAATATCACGACCGGCTTTCCAGCAGCTGTATACAGCATAGGTTTAATTGAGTATAGTAAAGGATAATTCTGTACACGGCTGATCAATTTATATGGAGACTATCCCGACATTTTGTATACTTAAAGCAAAACCATTGAATTAATTAGTATTAATTAGGCCAGCCTATTCATGAATAATTCAAATCCACTGCAGCTAAAACGTCGTGCATATTTCATTACCAATGATTGATGCGTTTTAGTACAGTATCGAGGTAATCACGCAAAATAACTGTAGGGAAACAGAGATTAAGAAACATCGGATAGTCTTTATTGCGCGATGGGATTCGAACTTGAAAGTACTGATAGCAATCGCTTTACGCTATATAGGAAAATGCTGATTTTATGTTAGTGACCAGTTCATCACCAGTATTTCAATAAAGTAATTAAATAGCGCATTTCTTATGATATCGATCCAACAATACCATTGCGAAAGAAGCTGTATCGAAAAGCGTTACAGATTTTACTAACATATAAGGCTGATAGTTGATCGCAAAGAAGTAACATTTTAAGGAAAGTTTGAAGTATCTCAGGAGCTAGAGCACAATCGGGAATTGTAGTGAAGAAATAAATTTGAGTTGCAGCAACTGAATTGGCGGTTAGTACCACTTCTAGCTGGCGTAGGAGATAGTAATGGCGTACGTATATATGCATATGGGAGAGTTAGAGTTTAAAACACAACACTAGATCTGAATGCTTACTACTATTTGACAAAAAAAGGGCTTTTATACTTTTATCGTCTATAATTCTAACATAGACTGATTATACGGTAGAGTTGTAGAAGTGTAAACATCTGTAATGAGTATATAATAATCCCCACTCAAACCTATACAAATTGTAAAATCAAGAAAGCTCGGAAATGTCTCAATCTCCAGCCTAAGTACTTTCTAGAATTTTTTATCATCCTCGATGCTAACTTTAGTAAAATCATTCCTGCCTATTCGTGACAATAAGTCATTTCTGGCATTGATGGTTAGTACTGTTATCCCATCACATCGCTAACTCCGGCCTTCAACATTAGCTAGCTATTGCGACTAAGTGTAACATGCAACAATTTCAGATGCTTACATCTCGATTTCAAATCATTTTGTGTCAATGTATATCCTCGATCCTAGCCTCAATGTAAGTAGCCATTATCGTTTTTATGATATTTAATCATCATCTCCTTTAGTAGTCAACGTTGTGAGTGAACTAACTTGAGCTGATACAATCAACCACATGTAAGATTCGGGTTACTCTAGATTAGTCACTGACGCAAAGAACTGAGAATACGCAAAGCTCTGTAAATTGTAATTACTACCACTAATAGATTTATTGATTGAAAATATGGCGGCTTTTAGACGTGCGCTGTCTGCACTTCAAGTGTAAAATATTGCATATTGCAATATCCACAATAACATATAGAAGTGTAGATTGTAATTAAACATAGTAATTAATTCCATACGTATACAACGTAACTTTTTAAGTACAAAACAGATTGTAGAGTGTAGAAGCTATCATATTCATCGTAGCCATAACCAAATAAGATCGGTAACAACGTTCTGTAAGAAGAAATCATTGCATATTCGTAACATACTATATTTAACAAATACAGTATTAATATATCACAACTATATCATAAACACTGTAGACGAATAGCCTAAATGGCTTAAATGTACGTATTAACTTATTATTACACGATCAAAATGTAACACACTGTAATATGTAGCAGTAAACACATAATCTTCATGCCTATAAATATTAGTTATAACTGTCAATTCTTTGATTGCGATGTTTCATGCTGTATGGGTTTGAGTCTGAATATTAACCTTATTAATACGAGTTCCAATTTGTGTTTCTACAGCTGTAATCTATGGCTAAAGAATACAATATTTAACGGTTTCTTGACAGTAGAAGACCTGTAGACTCAGGTTACCACCATCGATAGCAATTTCTTTTACATTTAGTCACATAGATTTATTAAAATTTAAAGCAAAATTACTTACGAGAGTGTATGAGTAAATTCTAGCGTGTTAGCAATGAGTTCCTTTACTGGGCTTTCTTCAAACCTCTGTACTATACAGTATAAATTTAATACTTTATAGTCAACTATAGATGGAAACAAATCCAATCTGACATCTACAACTAGCGGAGAATTACTGATAACTGCAACCTAGCTAATAAAAGCAGCAGCAAATATATCGTCTCACATCAGTCTTCCATCCTTAATTCAAATGTCTAAATATCTCCGCTCATTCTTTTTACTATTGCATCGATGAAATCAACTGCTGTATTAATGGAAATAGATATCGTATCATAATTTTACACACCACAGAAATCGGAGTTTAATGGTGGGAAGACATTATAACTCTTCATGTCTTCATCATTTTCTTCTAGTTATGAAATATGGAGTCTCTACAAAATGAATTCCATGGCATTGTACGACCGATAACGCAAGCAGACATGGAAGCTGTTTGTCAAATAGAGCAAGAATGCTTTCCATCAGATGAAGCTGAACCTCCTGAACAATTAATGGATCGATTTGATGTAGCAAGTGAATTATTTCTAGGATACGAAGTCCATGGCAAAACTATCGCGTTTATTTATGGTTCACGATGCAATGATGAATTATTAACAGCTCAATCCATGCACGAGCATGTAGCCGATGGGAAAACTTTATGTATTCATTCCGTATGTGTTACTGGTAACTTTCGGCGAAAAGGTATCGCGTCCATGTTGCTTAAACGCTATATAGCTTACATCAAAGAAAATATTTCATTGATTTCGATAATTAATTTATGTAATAAAGTGTCTATCGAAACGCAACGACTTCCACAACTTGAAGGAAAATCACTTTATTACAATAATTACGTCTTCTACCAAGGACTAGATTATCTATGGCTACTCTGTCTTCGGAGATAAAATCTCCTGCTTATATACAATTGTGTACAGAGTATCTTCGTGACACATAAATCGTTATCTACCTTAATAAGGCTAACATCACACCTCTAGCGTACCTGGAGGTGCCAAACAGTATGACTAATAACTTTTACAATCCGTATTGCAATTACTAATACAAATCCTCACATATTTAATCTCACTCTACGATCTAGCACCTATACAAGTGTATCTATCTTAATTAGCCTAGTAATTACGTCATGCACGATATTCACACATACTGTATATAATCTTAAGCTATATTTGGGCTGCACTACAATTTAATTACTCATGACCACCTGATATCGTTTTACGAGAAAGCAGGATTTCAATGTCTTGGTTTGTCGTCTGTAGTCCATGGTAAACTACCATGGTACAATTGCCAGATGAAATTGTAAGATAGATACTACCTCCTTTCAGCTCATGCATTCTATTATTTTAGGATTATCAAAGTATAAAGTTAGATTGAATGACCTTACTCAGTCAGGACAGCTAAGCATTAAAACTCTTCTGAACTATATTGTGATTGGCTGTTTCATATAGGTATTGCGAATAGAAAGTAACTGTACGCTAACGTTTGATATACCGTATATGGATAAAAAGACAATTATTGTTGTACATGTAAAAAGAGTATGGAGTAGGAAAGGTGCTCGAATAAAGACATAACATAAAATTGCTGCATGGTGTTAAAAAGTTATTTGTAAACCTATTTTCGCGAAATTACAAATGGTTCACCTTGTATTCACAGTACCCAAACCGTTGTATTGTCAGAAGCCAGCAAATTCCACTAGCTTGCATTAACATTTATGGTATCAACTTTCCTCAGATCCAGGCTAGCAAATTACACTAACTCCTATTAACGTTGATAGTGTCGATTAAGCTAACCGGTTGGAAGTGGTAGTAACTTAAGATTTAGAGGCATAACAAGAGCTTTTATTTAGTCGTCATTTCAAGAAATTGACCATGATCGCAAGCTATATTGTACGTATGTTCGATAAGCTTATGGCAGAAGCTTAATTTCATAAGTTTGCATTTATCTCCGGGCAATATCCACGGCTAGACTACAGTATTCGATGATTTTAGGCAATCGTTAGCATGATTGATCAACTTACATTGAGACTATCTCAATGAATTGATCCCATATATTCATGTATTTTATTGAACGGCTTCGCGATTTCTCATCACATAAATTCGTTTTTATCCCACAAGCAGGAATCTAACTGTCGTTATTTAACCTACTGCATTTGCAGAGTTTAGACTATTATTACCATCGGCTTTTCTGCAGCTGTATACAACCTAGACTTGGTTGAGTAATACAGGATAATTCTGCATTTGACTGATCAATTTAGATAGAAATTATCATGACATTTGGTATATTCAAAGCAGAACTATTGCATAAATTAATTAGTTATTTTGGACAAGCCGGCTTATGAATTATTCAAATCCTGTTGTAGCTAATAAAGTTGCGCATGCTTGATCATAAACCATTTACTCGATTTCCTATCCAGCAAAATAGAAGCAAGGACGAGAGATTACTCAACACCGGATATTGAGTCGATTGCAAAATTAGATTTGGACTTGAAATTATTAAGTGATAGTAGTTGCTTAACATTATATAGGAAAGTACTGATAATTTGACTGATAGTTAATCGCAAGGATACGGTAATTTAAGGAGAGTTTGAAGTATCTCAGGAACTGTGGTGAAGAAATAAACTTGAGTGGCATAGCAGCAACTGAATTGACGATAAGTAGCTCTTCTAACTAGCGTAGGAGATATTTACGAGAAGCCTCGCAACTGTGGTGTATATACGTAGGTAGAGTTAGAATTAAAAATACCACACTCGATGTGAATGCTCACTACATTTGAAAAGACGGTGACTTTTATACGTTCACCGTCGACAATTCTAATATAAATTGATTGTAGAGTTGTAGAAGTGTGGATATCTGTAAATGTGTTCTTATTACTAATTAATAATCTCTAAATTCAACCCAAACTTACGCTACGAATTGTAAAAGCCAGAAAACTCGGAAATAGCTGAATCTCGACCCTAAGTGCTATCTAGGCTTAAAACACGAATTACATACTGTATAATTGTCAATCCTTTGATTGCGATGTTACATGTTGTATGGCTTTGAGGCTAGACATCAACTTTACTAGTACGAGTTTTAATTTATGTACTACTTCTAGTGCTTTAATCTATAAATAAGGAATGCATTCTTAATGGCTTAATGCAGTAGAAGGCCTCTAGACTTAGACTACCGTCATCTATAGTAATTTATTTATTTCATATTTAGTAATATAGATTTATTAAAAATTAGATCAAAATTACTTACTAGAGCATGCGTTTATTAGTGAACTGGTGCATGTTGGCCTTGAGCTCTTATAAGAGTTATACAGGGCCTTCCTTAAACTCTCTATACTGGATAAATTTAATCATCGAATAATTTAGAGTAAACAGTAGATGGAATTAATCAGATCTGACATCTATAACCAGCAAAGAATTGCTCATAATTGCGATCTAGCTAATAAAAGCAGCAGCAAATGTATCTTCTCAAGTCAGTCTTTTATCCTTAATTCTAATATCTGAATACCTCCATTCATTCTTTTACTATTATATCGATGAAATCAGCTGCTGTATCAATAGCAATAGATATCATATCATAATTACTTTCGCCACACGACTTATCTGTAACAGTTAAGCATCAATTTTTAATTCTTAATGGCACGTCATCATTATTTCTTCTAGCTATGAAATATGGAGTCTCTACAACGTGAATTCAATGGCATCGTAGGACCAATAACGCAAGCAAACATGGAAGCTGTTTGTCAAATAGAGCAAGAATGCTTTCCATCAGATGAAGCTGCAAGTCCTGAACAACTAATGAATCGATTTGAGGTAGCAAGTGAATTATTTCTAGGATACGAAGTCCATGGCAACATTATCGCGTTTATTTGTGGCACACGATGCAATGATGAATTATTAACAGCTCAATCTATACACGAACATGTAGCCGATGGGAAAACTTTATGTATTCATTCCGTATGTGTTACTGGCAACTTTCGGCGAAAAGGTATCGCGTCCATGTTGCTTAAACGCTATATAGCTTACATCAAGGAAAACATTTCATCGATTTCGATAATTAATTTAATTACTCATGACCACCTGATATCGTTTTACGAGAAAGCAGGATTTCAGTACCTTGGTTTGTCGTCTGTAGTCCATGGTAAACTACCATGGTACAATTGCCAGATGAAATTGTAAGATAGATACTACCCCCTTTCAGCTCTTTCATGTATTTATTTTAAAATTGTTAGATTAAATGACCTTACTCAATCAGGACAGCAAAGCAATGGCCTCAGATCTGACAGTGAGACCTATCAGGGGCCGAGTATAAATAAATAAAACAATTAAATCAAGCAATCTGTTATATATGGTAGTAACATGACTGTCAAGATTTGGCTTGTCCAAAGAGCTATTACTAACAAGTTTTGATTAAATAGATTCGACAAGGTTGATGGTATCGTTAAGGTTAAAATCTTGTCCATATCTAAATTGAAAAGATGCTACTTGCTTACAGTAAAAGTTGGTAACGAGTATCTCTTGTTATGTCAGATAAGTCAATATGAAATTAGTTAAATTTAAGGATGGTTTATCTATTAATTTTTATCTTTATGTTATCTACCATAAGACTGTGGTATCAGTTATCATTAATATGATGGAATAAATCGTTCTTTATTGAAGCTGTTAATTCAATCGTAACTTGCTGCCAGTAAAGTAAAACGCGTACAGTGTACAGTTTAACGTAGGCTGAGATCGAGAAAAATATGACTGACTGTCGACTCCTTCGTACGGTTCTTTTCCTCTCATGACTCAATTTATAATAGTTTATTCCTTTCTCTCATAAGAAAATAATTACAAACAAAATGAACGGTCTATAGGATCTTCTAGTGCTGTATTATTATTAAAGTAGCAGTTAAGCCTTTGCATCAATCTCGACTTAATTCAACCGACAAGCAACATGATCAAGCTCTAAGCACTAACCCTTAAAAAATATTTCTTTAGATTACACTCAGTAAGCAATGTCGCAAATCTACAATTGATGTAAATAATTCAAGCCTTCTGATTACAGTAGTTTCAATATGCATTAATGCTAGTTAATTCTTTCAAGCTCCTATTTATTTATTCTTGTAAATTTCGATATTATCTCGAAAGTGTCCACATATTCAAAAGCAGCATGCATCATCCTTATTATGCTATACATATACAAGTTGAACGCATGTTTATGAACTTTGCACACAGAACATGTTTTAACGTTTACGGTGTCGATTTGCCTCAGATCCAGGCTATCCAAAGGTAAATCCCATTAGCTCGCGTTAAGCTATATGGTATCACATTACCTCAAATCTAGGCTATTAAATTCTTCCAGCTAGCGTTAACGTTTGTGGTATCGATTTATCTCAGGTGTAGGTTTCCAAATCTCACTAGATCGCGTTAACATTTATGGTGTCGATTTACCTCAGATGCAGGCTTCCAAATTCCACTAGTTCATTTTATCATTTGTGATGTCGATTTACCTCAGATTCAGGCTAGTAAATTCAACTAACTCTTGTTGACGTTCATGGTATAGATTTACTCTAGATATAGGCCATCAAGTAGCAATTTTCACTAGTTCACCTTAATATTCACAGTGTAGAATCGTCTTAAATAGGCTAGCAAATTTCACTCGCTAGCGTTTATGTTTACGATGTCGATTTACTGTAGATCCAGATTATCAAATTTACTAGCTTGTGCTAGCACTTATGGTGTCGATCTACCACACATTCTGGCTAGCAAATTCATTAACTTGTATTAAATTTCATGATGCAAAATTGCCTTAGACCCAGGCTATCAAATAGTCAATTCCACTGGATTACCTTAAAGTTTTATGGTGCCGATTTGCAGCAGATGCAAGCTAGCAAATTCACTAATTCACGCTTCCGTTTATGTCGTCGAATTACTTCAGAACCAGCCGTCCAGGTTGTCAAATACAGTAGCCAATTCAACTCGACTACGTCTCCATTTATGGCGTTGGTTTGCTCCAAATGTAGGCTAACAAATTCCACTAATTCATGCTAATATTTATGTTGTCGACTCGCTTCAGATCCAGCCTGTCAAGCAGTAAATTTAATCAGCTTACGTTAATGTTTACAGTATGGCGTTGATTGAAGCAAAACCATGCTATCACTTCTTCATCAGATTGCAGATTCTATTCCGGATAGCTGCATTTGTTTGTTTAAATGATTCATGCAATCGCGCATGCTCGATCGGTCACGCCTTTCATTTCAAAAGAAGGCCTAGCAAATTTTATCATTTCTGCCAGCGATGTTGCAATTATAATTAAGCGATGAGACAAAGTTGATTTACAGGCATAGGATCTTAACCAGGATTATTCGACTAGGCAGCGAGATTGGGCTTTAACTCTAGTTGGGAAGGACTGGTATTTCATTGCTTGCTTTACGCTAGGTATAAATTGTCAAATCGTTAAATGATAGTATTGCTATCTTTCACAATATAGAAGTTGTAAAATTAAAGTTCAGGAGAATATAGGCAGGAGAAATGGCATTTGTTATATGATTGGTTACACCTTGATATAGCATTTCTATGATTTAGATCACTGCACTAACTTGTAACAGAACACAACATGAAAGACATGATCATTCTTTTTGCAAATAATCTATTTACTCTTTTATGCAACAGGTCTTGAGATCTTGCATAACAGCAATCGTAGATAGCAATCATTTTTTCCAGATAAAATGGAGTGGTTCTTGACTACTTTACTCACGATCAGTTAGTATCTGTACATTCGTTTGTTGACTTCTTTTACGCTTATTAATTGTGAAACAGAGACTACTGTAGATTTGACTCGCATATTTTTTTTACTTGGATGATGTCCCTAGCAATAGTAGTGTAGTGAACTTTTAACCATAGTATTCATTCTCTCCTACTGAACACCATCTAGTCTTTACGTTGACGGTGTCCGTATAAATAGTAATGTAGTGAATTTTGCATCCTAGCATTCTTTCTCTTTCATTGAACACCTTTTAATCTTTTGCATTGGTGACCTCCCCTATAATAGTAGGGTAGTAAACTTTTAATCGTAGCATTCGTTCTCTCCTGCTCAACATCATTTAATCTTATGCATTGACGATGTCCCTATTAATAATGATGTAATGAAATTTTGATCATGGCATTCTTTCTCTCCTATTGAGCTTTATTGAATCATTTAATTGATTGATGATGTCCTCTGTAACACTAGTGCAGTAAACTTTTAACCATAGCATTCATTCTCTCATACTGAACACCATTTGAATCTTTTACACTGATGATATGCCTATTAATAGTGGTGTAGTGAACTTTTGATCTTAGCATTCGTTCTCTCCTACTGAACACTATTGGATCTTTTGCATCGGTGAACGTCCACAGTTATAGTAGTAGACTGAACATTTAACTATTGCATTCTCCCCTACTGAACACCATTTACTGTAATTTCTATACAGCGATGATGTCCCTATCAAAATTCAGCACCATTTAATCATTTACGTTAATGACCTCCCCAGCAATAGTAGTGTAGTGAAATTTTAATCGTAGCTTTCGTTCCCTCCTTTTAAGATCTCGCTTACTTCAATTCGTTTAAATTTGTTCTATTTGCTAAAGTTAGCAAAATGGTACTATCCCAAATCACAGCAACGGTAGCCGATATATAGAGAGCCTTCAAAAAATTTCCAAATTTAATTAAACCGCTATGCAAGACACATTTAGAGCATACTTTAATCCAAAAGAAAGTATACCATACCTGTCAAATAAGAGTTCTAATGTAATACTGTATATATCGGTAGTAAATGTTATCCTAGCAATTTTTAAAAATTTAACGTTAAACCCATCATTGCTCAACTTTAGATAAGAAACATGGAACCTATACACGTACAAGGTCTTTATAAGGCTATTATACGCCAGATTACCGAGGAAGACTTTGATATTGTATGTCAAACAGAACAAAAATCATTTCCAGAAGGCGAACCAGCTTCTGCCAAGCAACTTAGAGACCGATTTAATGCAGCTAAGGAATTATTCCTTGTATTCGTAATAGATGGCGAAGTAATTGGTCATATCTGTGGTACACGGAGTAATGATGACTTATTAACTTTTCAATCTATGTATGAACATATACCTGGTGGAAAATATCTCTGCATTCATTCTGTATGCATCCACGAAAAATTTCAACGCAAGGGTATCGCGTCTGTCATGGTCAATCACTATACAGCTTATATTAAGCAGAATTTTCCAGATATTGTGCTTATTAATTTAGTTGCTCATGACTATCTAATATCATTTTATGAGAAAGTAGGGTTTCAATGCGTCGGCTCATCTTCAGTAAACTTTGGTAAATTGCCATGGTATAATATACAGATGAAATTACAATAAGTTAATCTATTGCCCAATCTTGATGTTATCATAATAAGCTAAAATTTTATTTGTTGTACTGTGATAGATCAAGTAGATGTTACTGCGCAGAAATAGAAGCGAATAAATACTACAGTTAAAATCAAGCAACAAGTTCGTTTATTACAACAATTTTGCAAGCAGCGATGGAATAATATTTGAAGGTATCATTAAAACACTAGCATCTTTAGACACGTTAAAGGAATAATAAATTATTGATCCAGCAACTTTGAGTAAAGGAACGACATTATCATCCATAGAGTAGCACTTTTAACGCTCATAGACATCTAGCAAATATTATTTCATCAGTATAGTAATAAAAGATACGTTATATAATAATCTTTATTGCATCTCAGCCAGATTATTCCTTCTGATCAGACATTAACGTTACATGCATTAAATTAAAATTTATGCTCTGTAGAAGCGTTACAAGCCACACGCATATTAAAGACATTAATTGGTGACAATAGTTAGCGGTATGAAATTCGAAAACGATATTCTGGTACTGATATTTTAAATAGTTTTTTTTCGAGCTGGATCTGCCTCCGTTATTCTGCTCCTACGAATACCTACAAAGAAGTTATAACATAGGTATATTTAGTTAAGACTAACGCATATACGCGTAATTTTATTCTATCTAACCAAATTTTAATCGTTTAGCATAAACTTTTCGATAGCTATGTGTACTGGTACTATTTTGCTAAGAAATTAAAACCTCCACCTTTGGCATTTTAAAATACCTCATAGTCACTCGATGACATTTTTAAGGCAATTATTAATATCATCGCTTGACAATTTATTTGTAAAATTAACATGTTCTTATTTAAAATAAACACGTTCTTTAGCGCTTTTTAATTTTACACACTGAAGTGTATAAATGTACGTTCCATTAATGACTAGCTGCAATTGGTAAGATTTTACAAATTAAATCTTTTAATAGCATGACACTTAAGATGGTAAAGTATTTGACTCTTTATGCAATATGAGAGTAATACAGAGATTATCCTGATTATCGCTAGTTAGTCAATTTTGCGAATTATTAAATTTTAATTCATTGCGTGGCTCATACATACGGCAAATCAAGTAGTTAAAAGAACTTCGGGTACAAAGAATGAAAATATGAAGTGTTAAAATAGTTCTCTCAACGCTAACTATTTTGTAACGCGAAATAAATCCAAATTCTATAGAATCTCTACATTAACTATTCGGGAAATGAAATAAGCCACCAAATATATCCCGTTATTACAATAATATGGCTGAGATACATAACCGATATAACATTAAAATCTATTAGTGTAATAGATCGTTGTAATGTGCATAGATAAGAACTTAAATTACCGTAAGACATCGTTACTAATCATAAACTTACTTCTGACGGTTCTTGTAAAATGCACTGACATTGATTTCAATGCGTCTCCAGAATCTTTTTCTTCATAGGTTTATATTTATGTAATTTAATGAGAAAGTAATACAGAAATCAAAATATTAAAATTGATTAAATAAATTTTCTTTAGTGTCTCTTCACATAGATAACTATAATGGCATACAATTATTGGCATAAGTATTTACTAAATTGATGTATAACAGTAATGTTAATTTTTTCAAGAAAGTAAAATACGGGTATATATCCAAAATGATACAAAATAATTATCCATAATTCGTTATCCATACAAATTATAATGGTACCCCTGCTCGATTAGTACGATTCATGACGTAAGCACATACTACTTTCTCCTAGATATAAAACTTACTGCTATACATATACAGGTTGGTAAGAATATGATACTGGCAATAATAAACTCTACGCCAATATTATAAGAGTACAGTAGGTTATAAACATATATAAATTCAGCGCGCAACAACAACATAAATTTCTTAAATAGACTAGTGATGAAGTTTGAAATAGCATAAATTGTGTAATTGTACGTTATATACTCGGATAAACCTGCTGCATATATGCATAAACCATGAAACTGTGACTGCCTAACTATTTTCCACTAATTTTCTCCGTCGCAACTATATGCACAATATTAATGGAATATTAATAATTATTCTTTACCTGCATTAGAATACTGTAAAAACCTCTTTCGAGAAAATGAAATTAACCATATGTAATCTGATTTATAAAAATTTTAATTCCATATGCAGTATAACTATTGGAAGTGGAATCTCAAAAGTAATACTTTTTCTGATTTTATAGACACATAAGAATCTCAACGTGAAATACTCGTACTATGTGTTAATTTTATTACTGGTATAGGAATACATTTAACATTTATAAATAGCGAATCAGGTTTGTTTTTAGCTCGGTATAAAAGTTAAGGTAGCAGCAGCAGTAATTCATCTAAATAATTATTCGTTGGTAAAATAAAGACATAGTTTTCTAAATTGATATAGCTTATATCTAAAAAATAAATAATTATAATTGGTAGGATTACACACAGCAAGGTAACAATTAGACATGTCAAGACTCACCAACTTGGTCTTTTTTTGATTCATTTGTAAAAATGCTAGCAATAGATGCGTTCGAATCACCTTTAATCATTGAAAACAGAACAAATTAATAAAGTTATAACAGCGTAACATCTTCAATAATAAAAAATAAAATCCAGAACTTTCAATCTGAACCTACTTGATTGTAAGATTGATTGGTTTAATTCAGAAAACACTTTCATGAAATTGTTAGAAATCGTTAGGTTTACTGCATCGCCTTGACGAAGTCTGTTGCGAATCTTGGCAGCTAGTTTATTAATCTTTCCAGCAAGCGTATATTTCTTCTGCCCACGATATATAATTGCAATATTGTCACACAAGCGTGGTATTGATACATGATTTACACCAGCAATATCTATTTTCATTTTTAAAGATTTAAGATACATAGATAGAGCCTCTACGAATTTGGATTGGCGCCGATAAACACTTCCAATGTTGTTATATGATCGAGCAACTTCTAAATTGTTATCGCCCAACATGTTAAGGTTAATTGCTAGAGATTTTTGATACATTGATAGAGCATCATCATACTTATATTGATCATAATAAATTAATCCGATGTTATTGAATAATCGAGCTATGTATAAATTGTCATCTCCTAATAGTTGCCGTTGAATTTTTAAAGATTTGTGATACATCACTAACGCTTGCTCATATTTAAATTGATGTCTGTATACTAGTCCAAAATTATTCCATAAGGTTGCAACTTCAGTGTTATTTTCACCCAATAAGTTTATTTTGATATCCAAAGATTTTTGATACATTTCGAGTGCATCCTCATGCTTATGTTGATGGAAATAAATTAGTCCAATATTGTTATATGATCTAGCGATATCCAGGCTATCTTCTTCTAAAATGCTTTTTTGAATATTTAACGATTTTTGATAATTGGATAAAGCGTCTTTATACTTGGATTGATTATAATAAACTAATGCAATGTTGCTAAATGACTCAGCAACGAATAGATTCTTTTCTCCAAGCAGGTTCTGTTGAATAGCCAAAGACTTTTGAAACATCGTAACAGCATCTGCATACTTCGATTGCTTAGCATAGATTATTCCCTTATTAGTATAGGCAGTCGTTACAGTTAAATTATTACGGCCTAGTAATTGTGTGTTCATTTCCAGAGATTCATAGTACATCTCGAGAGCATCAGTATATTTGGTTTGTAGGTCATATATAGTCCCAACATTATTAAAAGTAGCGGCCAATTCGTATGATTGATCTCCTAAGATATCGCTATAAATGTCTAAAGATTTCTGATGCATGGATAGAGCATCGTCCAATTTACACTGGCGATTATAAATCATTCCAATCGTATTGTACAACTGAGCGACAAGATGATTTTTTTCTGCTAAAGTATGTAGACGAATATGGAGCGATTTCTGACACATCAGTAAGGCGTCATCATATAGAGATTGATAAAAGTATACTAATCCAATATGATGATACGAAGTAGCTACTTGCAAATGGTCACCTCCTAGGAAGTCAAGTTTAATATTGATCGATTGGGTAAACATCGATAGAGCCTCTTTATATCTGGTCTGTTTAAAGTAAATTGTTCCAATATTACCGTAAGAAATAGCCACGAATAAATTATTTTTTCCTAGCTTATTTTGGCGTAGATTAAGCGATTTCTGGTACATTGCTAGCGCTTCCTCGTGGTTCCATTGGCAATTGTATATGTAACCTATACTATCATAGGTATCTGTTAAAATTAAATTATTATCTCCGAGCAATTTTAATTTCAATTCCAAGGATAATTTATAATCCACTAAGGCTTCTTCAAATGATTCTTTTTTTGTTTTAATTTCACCACGATTATGTAAAGAGCAAGCAATTCGAAGCTGATCTTTTAGTTTTTTAGCTAATTTCTCACATTGATCAGCATACTCTATTGCTGGAGTCAACTGGTACTTTTCTCGGTAAGCAGCCGATATATCCAAGTAAGTATCACATAAATATTGATCTCGGACTAATGTACTTATATAGGGATTATCTATCGCTTCCATCATCATCTTGGTTATGTCAAGAGCCAACTGGTAATCTCCATTATTGAAAGCCTCAGTATAAGCTTGTTTCAAAAATTGAATATCAACATTATTTGTCGACAAATGACTCATATTAGCTGATTTTCCTTTTCTTCCGCGTTATTTAACTTATTAAATGTCAAGACTTGATCGTTGGCTTAAACTTATTATTATGTCTATCTTTGGTTATAATTCACGCTTTAATCAGATTTATGTCAGATAACCTCTTATGGCTGCCACTCTATCAAAAAGGTTGCCAATATTTCTGTCTTGTCCAGATTTAATCGAATAGCAACCTCCCGCTTTCCCTTAACGGTCACTTAAAATAAGCACTGAAAAGAAGGTTATCTAATTATATTAATTACTTCAACTACCGTTAGTGCAGCCTTCTAGCAGTGAGTTAATCGCCAATCTCTTTTTATCATGTATTTCTATCATATATGACGGGTTCGATTTGGATTTAATATTGTTCCAATAAACATCAAGTCCACATTATTCATTAAATTGAATTAAAACACAAGGGAATGAAATTAAACAATTCCATCATTCTACCACAATAGTATTTCGTCGTCATCAAGAACATGACGAAAATGGCAAGACCACCGGTTTCCATAGTTTCCACCCTATTTAGTGTTCTGTATAGACCTCCTGGTAGTCGAATAAATATACTAAAGGTGAACAATAAGGATCTTGTAACACAGCGATTTGAAGCTAGAACAAAAGATTATAAAAGCTTAGCATCTTCATCTATTACTAATATTTATATAGATAATAGTGTTTTCAAGCTATTAAGAAGCTGCATAAGCTTTATTAACTACTTGAAAAAAATGGCCTTTTATAATATCGTAATTATAAAGTAGACTAGGTTGATGTGAATTGATCTAACTGTAATTTTTATGTCGTTACGTATTGCTTAACTAACAAGGCTCATGAACCTCTGTGAACATTAATCTTTAGAAGGTTAAATTTCATCAATTTAGAAAATAGTTAAGCATTGGATAACGATTAAAACGTTTGAATACAAGGTAAAATTAAAACTTTCGTTAGCTTTACTGTTATCGATTTAATTGAATTTTGGCAAACTCTTCAAATTAAATATGAGATTGAAACTATGATCGTATTGTCTAGCTGTAGAGCCCTTGGTCCAATCTGTGTTGTATTAATAAATCTATGGCGATTAAAACGTTTTGAGTACAATGTCAAATTAAAATTTCGATAGTTTATCGATATCGATTCAATTGATTTTCACAATCTCTTTAAACGTAAGATTGAGACAATTATCGTATCGTTATTAGATGAGGAGTACTTGAATTAATTTGTATTAATTAATCAATCCATTACCATCTTATATTATTATAAGCATGTTGGTAGAATAAGATTCAAATTTAATGATATAGGGCCTCTATAGAATCCTGGCAACAAAGGTTAAGCTTGAAGAATGTTTCATATTGTAATTACATTGATATTAAAATATGCAAGATGGAATATCCAGCTTAGATTGAAACCTCGATTTGAAGGCCTTAGAATTAAAAAAAGCGTATATCATGTTCAAATAAGATTGAGAAGTATGATTAATACCAGATTGTAGTAAAGTCAATTCTTAAGGGTCAACAGTAAATTAGTCTAACTGTATTTAAAACCCGAATTAAGCTTTATTACAATAAAAACCAACCGTAACTGTATTTACAGCAAACTATGAACAAGAACAACTCCCGATCTACTCGTTGCACACGCTTATGAATCCTAGCGTATGACCTATTTAGTAATAGTAGTAACATTATCACGCTTCCATGCGCTAAGTACGGGCATTGAAATATCATATTTTGCCGGGGCATGAGCAACTAATCGCATTAAACTACGCAAGTATTATAGCGTATGGTGATGCATATTAGTAATTCCATACTTAATTAAGAATTTAACTCAAGTGCTAAACTCACGGCACTACACAGATACTTTTAGAAGCCCAATATGATTAGTTTTTTAGAATCCTTACGCTAATATGGTGGCGCAATGTTGCAGTTATCCAACGACGATATTATTCAATATTGAATTAAAATTTAAGTTAGGATATTTCATATAGTATATCTATACTTTAAAATCTATCCTGGATTCATCGGCTGTCATGGACTTACCGAATGAATCATCAAATGTGTAATTCTAGAACAAGATACTAAAGAGCTTTCCTGGTTAATGATGCGAGATTGGCATTCCAGTAGTTTACCAATATTAGTTTAATTGAATTACTACAATTAGCCTAAATCGTAAATTTAAAGCTATTATTGCATCGTTATTAAATACGGAGTGTTTAACATATTTTATTCAGTTAATCGATCTATCAGCATTTTCTTATGTAATTATAAATATATCGGTAGACCAAGATTCTAGGCTAATGTCAAAGTAATCCTGACAACGGATGCTAGGGTGATGAAAAATAGCCAATGAAAATATTGCGTTCAGATTGGCACACATCAAGGTACTATCGCAGGGTAAAGAAATTAGCCTTGTTTATTGGCATAACTTAATTGAGATTAGGAGATAGTTAATACTTTAAATATTCTGTGCCGCAATATCTGCTTTTAACTAACTTACATTAGATACCAGTAGTTAAGGTGTTTTGATGATTCTATCAATGGGTATCTTGTCATCCGCGATAATCTACTTGTCTTGTATTAGTCATCGAATATCGATGTCCCTCAATATCATCGTATTAATTAGGCATTTGGATACAAAATAGCTTCCTGATCTCATAGGCACTTTCGATGCTAACTATAACTAATCTATTTACTGTAAAAAGGTACTTTAATAAGCGTGGCATTTTAGAAGTTAGCAATCAACTAATTCAAAAGACTCCACTATTTTGTGAGACAACTTGTATCCAGTACACCCATCTATTTGCTGTTCAACTATCCGTGCCTGTATTTAGAGTAGAATTGGAGCCAAGTATTTATTTTCAAAATCGTTATACAGCTAAATTTACAGATCTACAATGCCAAGGCTCAATTCAAATGGACTACATATACGCATATCATCAATTCTAAAGCAAATTGATACGCAGAATATGCTGTACTAGCAAAGGATAATATCACCATAATTTCAAAGAATGTTAACAACTCAAACTTATTTCAGCAATATAAGATCATTATGTAGACAATATAAAAATTTGCGAGCCATTTTATGTCTGCACAATTTTTGTGAAGTCCTGTTAAAAAAAAGCAGTGTGTAACCTAAAATAGAACGTTAAGTAAATATTTAATATTAGGCTTTGAATTTTTTGAAGACGTCGCATATTTTCAATAATTGTTAACAGAATATGAATGCCATACTAGTTTATGAACATCGTATAAGGCGATAGTTCAAGGTATAATAATGGAGTAAAACTTTTTCTTGCATTTGATTATTTCGTAACAGCATCTTTCACTAATTAGCTTAAAGCTATAGATGAAATTTGAAGATTGCAGCTCTACAAGACAGAAATGCCGGCACTTAATGTGCTGAAAGATGTATAACAAATATAATAAATCAATATTTAATTCGGATATTACTTTGACTTATGATGATCGTAGTAGATAATAAGTAATGATGTGATCATGAAGAAACGAATGAAAGTTCTACTTTCAACTAAAATTATGGCAAGAAATATTTGCAGAGGATCCATAAAATTCCAATATTGTATCGATGTCTGTATTCACTATTAGTCAACCGGAGAATTCATATAACTTGTCAACTTTAAATTTGGATATTATTTTTTACGATGAAAATGATTCCATTTAGAAGTCATTATTTAATCTATCGTAACATGATAGTAGAATGAAGAATATTATGGAAGAAATGTTTAGGGTTTATTGCTTTCGAAGTTGAATAGAATTGTCCAACTTTACCTGTGTGTAGAGATGACATTTTCTTCAACAGATATAACTGTAGTATCCAATGAGATTTCAACAGACAAATTCATTTACCAACCTAACGTTATGATTAGTTAAAGAATGCTCAGATAATAACTATACCATACTCTGTCGGTAGTGCTGCTAATATCTTGTTCGTAACGTAAGGCAAATATCATGGCCTAAGAAATCATCAAAGTAAAGCCTAGTAATCGCCTTTACAATGATAAGAATTTATATATTTTCTGCCTAAAGGAGCCATTAAAGGAAATATAGATCAAGGGATCGGCAGCGGCATTGAATGTATTAATAGTCAATGAAATTAGCATGGCATCTAGTAATGGTTGGCGCAATATGGATCCCAAAATTTGAGTCGCATATAAAGGCAAATACGTTAGCAAATAAAATGCAACGATGAAGCCAAAAGCCTAAGAAAAATAATTCATTCTGAAGATTAGTCACTTTTAGCAATAAGTATATTGCAAATTTAATATGTTTAGCTATAGACAGATTAAACGATTTATTTACTTTGAAATAGAACTGAAGGAAGCAAATAGGATGCAAATGCCTCCGCTATGGGTTAATCAATTTAACTCCTGTCATATTAATAATATCCAACCAATTTAATTTGGGATGATATAGAGTAGTTCAAGTAAAACTGTCGATTAGCCTTGTAAATAAAAGTATCTAGAAATGGTCTCGACTATTAATATTGGCATCAGTTTAGAGATCAACTGTCATTTCATGGATCATTTGAATACGCAATTAAAAATATCAGGATTCAATTCTTGCATCAGCTTAGCTTTACCATAGAATATCTTTCAGTTAGCCGGTTCTAAATTGTTGCTAGTAACTTAATTTAATTTCTTTATTGTTAATTGCATCCAAAACATGTGATAGGGATGATAAAGAGTATTTCAGGCAAAGCTATTGAGTGGCTCTATAAATACTAACATCTAGAAATGGTTCAAACTCTTAAATACTGGCATCAATTAAATAAAAATCTACTATTTTCATGGATGATTAACTTAAGTAATTAAGGCAATCAGATTTCAACTCTTGCACCAGTTTGGCATTATCGTAAAATGTGTTACAGTTAGCTGGATCTAAAGTAATTGTTGTTAGTAATTTAGAATAGTAGAAACTTACGCCACTTTTGAGTATTGTAGTTGAACTAATAAAATATTGAGTGACTGATATTGGAAATATTTC